AAATATCAAATTTCATGAATTATATTTTTCTATGATTATTTTTAAGTAAAAATATTTCAAAATATTTGAGTGGAAATTATGAAAAATCACAGAATTCATTATATCAATAATTCTATTTCTCAATCTTCTTTCAAAATGACTATAAGTGGAAGTTATGTATAATACAGAACTTAAGTTGTATCTGTCTGTTATATTGTGTAAGTTTGTTCAATAAGACTTCAATTCTCGTTATCTTTGTCCAGAATTAATAAAGCTTTTCAACTCGGGTAATTTCTTCCACAGGTAATTTAAGGTATCAGTGAGTAACTACGTTCTGTCAAAGAACAACAAATCGTCCATTGAGAAACAGGATGACCGGAAATCACGGGTTGCAAATGATCAAGTTCATTGAATAGAGTTCAACCACGTTTTGGTCGCGTATTTGCAAAGCTTATCATACAACATCATCTTCTAACCATGTTCATCAGAAGGTAATTTTAGTTTCCGATGATACGCGTGCTTTTGATTATATTTTTAGCCATATTGGATATTGAGGTCATCAACATCATAAATTCAAAAAATATTCCTTCGTTTTTTAAATATTAAACAGTTTCAAAGTTTCTATTATTGATTGTTCAATTATGTCCATTCTTTTATGTAAATTCAATGAATCTTCTTATCACTTCAATTAAAATCATGTAGAAAAAATAATTATGATAATTTGAATAATTTAATTGATTAAATTCGTTTTTATTTTTTTCTTTAAATTGAATATAAATGTCATTCAAACTAACTAAATTCTATTTTTTACTTTTTTATGAATCTATTTTATAATAAAATATTTCTGAATATCTATCTTTTATTTTTATTTGTAAATCTTAATTTATATATAACATATATTTAATATGTTTGAACGCCAACATTTTTATCTCCAGTTTACAATAGTTTTATTTTATTAAAATGCATTACATTTCAAACAAAAAAAATTTCTTTTTAAAAATGCTTTTTTGTTTTAATATTCAATAATTTAATATTCAATATTGTCCTCTATTTTCTATTTCACGATAGATTATTAAAAAATAGTGAAGAAGATTTGAGAAGAAAAATAGATTAAAATTTTAAACTTTATAATCATGCAAAGACTTTATTTTTAAAAAAATTAAAAATTAATAAAGATAAGATTAGTAATGATTACTTCAATCTTTTTTTGATGACAAAAAAATTATTATTAGTTTGATGTGATAAATTAAAATTATATAGAACATCAAGTTTATTTATAAAACTACTAAACATTCAATTTAAAACATTTCTCAATATTTATTTTAAACATGCAATAAATATTATTTATAAATAAATTTTCATATTCAATTTTATAATTTTTATTATAATTTTATAAAAAAAAAAATTGATTCTATTAATTTTATCACTAGAAGAAAAGAGATTAAGAACTTAAAATCCAATTCAAAATATTTAAAATGATGTCAAAAAAAATAAAAGTTGTAAATAATATTGTAAATAATAATATTGTAATAATATTGTAAATAATAATAAATAATGATAAAGAGTATTTTAACATCATTATGTATTTGTCGATACTATATTCTAAACTTTTACGTTTATTTTTATTTATAGAGGATTAACATATCACTTGTTTATTATCATTATAGCCTCTATATAATATTTTAAATAAAATTTACTTAATATATTTTTTTAAGATTTTTAAAACATAATTTTTTATTTTATTATTACGAAAGAGTACTTAATTCATATTTTAAATAACAATAATTCGCGGATTTCAATTAATCGAATATTTAAAAGAACACCGATTCGATATCATTCGATAGCCAATCAAAGTCACGCAGATCTTCACTGAACCAATCAACGTCAATCAATAACACCGCGCGCTTTTTTCCGAGGCGTCATAAATCAATCAATCATCAACGCTTATGTGATATGCTTTTCTAAAAGTACGAGTTAAATAAAAAAAATTAGACGATCATAAATAAAACGCATCCAGGGAACACGTCCGTCTTCTCAACCCCGTGGCGCGTAACTGAGTTTCTTCGTGATATACAGAGACGGTGGTGGTGGAGGTGGAATAGACACGGTATAGGTTATGGCGGTAGTGGTAGACCAGAAAAGAAAATTGGCAATTTTATATGTTAATGTTTCTGTGTTTCATCTAAATTGATTTCATATTGAAATAAATTCTTTGAAAATGAAGGTAAAAATTTAAAAATTTGAAATATTAAATTATTATATCTTATTTCTAACAATTATATATATTTTCATTATAATTCATATTGAATTTTCAATCGTGTTAAATTTTAAATTGTAATAATATATTTGTATCGAATCTTTGAAGCATTGATAAACATATAATAAATATATATATTTTTTATATGTTTTTTGAATTATTTAATATTATTTAATATTCTTATTTAATTTTTGTTTAAAAAAGTTTTAATTTATAATTAGTCATATATTCGAATTATTGATTATTTGCTGCAGTAGCATTTCTTCGTAAGCATCTTACGAGATTTGTAATTGGATAAGCATGCTACGAGTGAGAATTCAATGACTTGTCTATATGTATAAGTGATAAAAGTCGATGCATATGAAATATACTATATAGATGTAAGTATGTGAGATAGTTAGTAAGTAATAAGTAGTACAAATTACTTTAGTATCCTCTCGACAAAATTAAGAGTTTTATTCCGTCTCTGGAACTTTTCATGATACTTTGAATTCTTTAGCACGAAAATCTATATATTTTTTTCCCTTTTGTTAATGTGATTAAATGTTTCAATTATAATTCGTATGAACATTACATTTTAAAGAAACTTGTATATATTTTCTTATTATAGAAAATCATTGTTGAAAATATATATATTCTATTATTATAGAAAATCATTGTTGAAAATATGAAACAGCATTAAATCCCATTAACTTAAAGAATGTTTTTTTAATAGATTTTTATTACAAAAGGAATTTGTTTTATTGGAACATAATATTTTTACAATAACTATTGTATTTTTTTTGTTACTAAACATTATGATATTTCTTTTTCTTAGGAAAATTCTAAAAAATAATCGATGTAATTAACTATACGCATGCGTGTTATACATAATAATGACGAAAATAGAAAACTCTATTTCTTTTTTAACATTTTATTTATAACACCATCTCTCTATTTATATCAGTACAAAAGCCTCTGGAAGTCATTTTATTTGAATCATCAGATTCTACGAGGCATTATCCATTCCATTTTTTAAATAGAAGAGGTATGATTATTTATATTAAAATAAAAAAAAGTACAATTATATTGAGTTAATGTTTTTTTTAATTCAATCATATATAATTAATTGAAACATATATACATGTTTAGAATATAAATAGAATATAAATTATAGAAATAAACTATTTATTCAATATTTTATTAATTGAATTAAAAGCAGGTATTTGTTATTTCATTCGATATGAGACAGGATCGGATTACTACCAAGGCTAACTAGACAAATGGATCTGCGCATTTTTCGTTCTCCCTTTCGCGCAAGGTGGTTATATCCCTTATTTGTACATGTATACGTTGTAAGTTCGTTTGAAGTGAAAAATTGGATTTCTCTGCAAGTTTCTAAGAATTCAATTTTATAGCAAAATATATATATATATCCTTCGTGATTGATTTCCTTCTATATAATAAAGTTGAAAAATAATATTTTTCCAAAATATTTTTTATACTTTTTAATTTTCTTTTAGTTACTATTTTAATGATTATACTACATGATACGGATTAAATCGATATGAGAAAATTTTTAAATATAATAAATAATTTCAGTTTCATTCTAATTTTTACTTAGTAGATATAAAAAATGCATAATAGGTCATTGACATCACATAAAAGGATCATAAATTGTGTCGCGAAACTGAATGAATCATGACTAGACAATCAAGAATGTAAGTTTACATTAGGCTGAACCGCAGACACGTCACACTATTGTGGGTAATCACATATTCATACTACTAAATATTTAATGACTTAATGCTATTAATGCGATTAAAAATATATGAAAAACTGTAGAAATCAATAATGTAAATATGAATTTTCTTATGAAGTGATAAAATTTTAAAAAAAGATTAACGATTTTTTCTAATAAATTTTTTTATATTTTGGAGAGAAACATTTTGGTATCTTGAAAACTTGCAATAGATTTATAATTAATTAGTTAATAAGGTTCAATTGGCTTCATTGTGTAGCATGTCTTATATATATTACATATTATATGTATAGTAGTTAATTTGGTGTGATAGCTCGGGTAGTTTCCAGGTAGAGGAGTAAAAGTTGTTAGAATCTTATGATGAATAGTGGAATCCAATTAAAAAGATATGTAGTTTTTTCATATAGTATACGTTTAATATAAAATTTATTCAATATTTCATATTAAATATGTAATATATAATAACGCTATATATTATATATATATTAACATGATATAAATACATATTTAATTAAAGAATTATCTTAAATTTTTTTTTTAAGTATATCTTGTAAAAAAAAGAAAAAATCGATATGAGATGGAAAATAATTATCAATTATATATATATATATATATATATATATATATATATGTTTCTTTTATCTGGAATATTTCTGTTACAATCCAATATTAATTTTCCAAATCACAATATCAACGTTAACGAACCCTGTCGTATTTGTGCTAAGCTATATGCTTTGATCGACAGAAATGATCGGTTATCTGATATTGATTAAATAATAACTACTCTAGTGGCATTCGTAGCCACTAGATTTGAAAAGTTATTTATTACTTCAATATCGTAAATTTTAATTACTTGTATTAATTTCTGCAAAATTTAAGATTTTAAATAATTTTTACAAATTGAATGTATTCTTAAGTCTTAATCTTTACAAATTGTTTTTAATCATATTATTTATTATTTAAAAAAAAGGAAAATAAACATAAAAAGGAAAAATGGTTTCCATGTGTTTAAAGAAGCATATTTTTAATTATTTTTTTAATTATATTTAATATTACAAAAAATAATTTGTATATAATTTATATTTGGAATTACATGTCAATGAATACATGTTAATTTTTATACAATATAACAATTTTAAGCTGATCAATTCATAGAAAATGACGTATTATTCGTTCTAATTGTATTTCTGTTCGATTGAGTCCATGGTTCTAACATTGCTCGTATTATTATATATATGAACCATATAACAAAAACAAATCCAAGAAACATAAAGATTCCATAACTGTAAATAAATTGATATTATATGCTCTTAATATTACCAAAATAACTAATATAACATTAATTAAAATTATTAATTAAGAATATACTTTGTAAACCAAGTAATAAATGATCCAAGACTTATGGGTACAAGTAAGCTATAATTAGCTAGTGGTCGCAAACTCAATCGAGGTGGAATACGTTCCTCATATCCGCAGGAAAGTCCATTTTGCGTTCGTTTTGGTAACTTCACAATTTTTGTTGGTGGTTGTAATATTTGTCGATAAATGTTTCCGAAAAAACCACTTTCATGGTACATTCTAGTTATCTTGTGCCGATACTATTCAAAATATATTATTACAATTATAAAGATGTTTAAGTTGAAAATTAAAATAATTATTTGATGATTTTTTTAATATATTATTGAAAGGATTTTTATTGAAAGGATTTTTATTGAAAGGATATTTACTTTTATGTTTATATATGTACAGAGTTTATAAAAATTCCTAACAAGTAATGCACATTCATTACTTCGAATTGGTTGTAATTCTGGATCACCCATATATTCGATATATTGACATGTTTGTCTATCTTTTTGAATAGGTACAAATACACCTGGTTTACTTGTATCTAAACTAGAATCCATCTAAAGAATTAATAAGACTTAATACTTTTCTATTAATAACAATTGACAAACAATTTTTTTTTATACCTGTGATTGACTGTGATAAAAAGATGTTGATAAAATGCTTTCATGATATTCTTCATCAGCTTCAATAGCTACCTGGGGAATGTCTTCTACTTTAATCTAAAAATTCTACTTATTAAAATCAAATCAAATTATTAAAATCTAAAAATATTTTTCGTTTTTTATTACCTCGAAGATTTCAATTAATTGTTGCTGTGCATTTGCTAAATAAATAGGAACACGACGTCTTTCTTCTATACTAACATCATCTGAAGAATAATCCTCGCCATAAAAAAATTCCCATAATGCTAAAAAAAATCGTCTACTTTTTCGTTTCTTTTCTAATGCATCGATTAAACTGGTTGCTGTTAAATATGCTTGTTTAATTGTGCTTAATAGACATACGACCTAAAAAAAAATTCAAAAATGATTAGATATCTCAAGTACACATATATATATATACTTTATATTTACTTGTGATACAGTAGACATAGAAAACATTGGTATATATTGATAAGTTGGTCCTTCTAGTTCTGAAATTTGTTGTCGTACAATTGAAGCCCATTGATTTGTGGATACACATCGACTTCTACTTAGTCCAACATCATCCATATGACTTTCTATTTCGCATATTATTTTTGCTAGATGTGGTTGCGAAAAAACCTAAATATGATTTTTTTAAAAATTTTCTAAATAATAATACATAAGTCAAATATCTGAAAAAATTTAATATACTTTTGTAACTCTAAATAACATTAATGCATTTTTTGGAGCCACAAGATCTGTCCTCATAAATCGTGGAAGTAATTGTTGGAATATTGCTGAATATGCTAACAAATTGTGTGCAATAAAAGGCATCCATCTATTTGGATCATGTATCTTTCCTCTTTCTTCTTCTTCAGATTTACTATAAAAAAATAAAATAATTTCTAATTGTAATTTATCATAATAGATTTTTTTTTTTATATACATACCCTTCTTTTGTGTATGTTATACTAGGAAAATATCTCCATGGTTGAATAAAGCTTAACCATGCTTCAAGAATTAATCTAAAGGAACTATCTAGAGGCCAATGATGTATAGCTTTTCGAAGAAATGTGTAAATTTTGCCTTGGACGGAAGGTAAAATAATTCTGTAAATAATATTTTTAACAAAATTTTGTGATATTAATATTTAATTATATTTAATTATTGTTTAACTTTTTAATATTAATATACCGTTTAAGTTCATCCATTGCACTTTTATCGCCTGTGGCACTATTTGCAAATTCATGCAAAGTTTTTATAAATGCTCGAACTAGACGTATATGCTCTCCAGAATGAATGCTATGCTGTAATTATAGTTATATACAAATATACATATTTTATAAGAAAATTTCTATTATATACTTACTCGACGCGGTACGGACGCAGAATATGATGTGCTTAAAGATGAACATAATTTATCATCTTCTATATATTCTACCCAAAAATCAAGAAATACTTGAACTACAGTTTCACTTCTCCAAACTTGTGGCAAACATTGTTGCTGTGGTACGGTTGATGTGGAAGTCGGAGATCCTGGCGATAATATTGATGTTCTCAAAAGTCGTGGTGTTTGCATTCTATAATAATTTCTAATTATAATTTTTCATTTACTATTAAGTAATTCTGAAGAATTATAATTTTATTTGTATTTTTTATTAATTTATTCATTGTTAAATATTCGAAAAATACCTTTTAGATTCAGGTGATTGTACAAGTTTTCGTTGAGGTGTTTTTCTGATGTATGGACTAATTATTGGCAAAACAGGGGAATTATCTCTAGGTAAAAAATGATATAAGTAACAATGTGCTAATTGAACATAAACAGTTTCCCAATTAATCCAGACATTCTCCTGCTGCTGTACTTGTAACCATGGGTTTGTTAAATGATATGCAAAATGGAAAATGTAATATTCAAAGGGGTATGTACCATTGTTAAGGATTTATTTTATATGAATTTAAAAAAGTATTTTATTGAATTATTGAATTATTAAAATATTAAAATATTAAAAAGTATATTAAAAAGTAAAAAGTCAAAGGATACTCATATTTAGCGCAGATACACAACGTGTACTTTGATCATCTCTGATTTTGTCTAGATAAAATGGTGGTATTACTCCTTCCTCTAACATTAAACGTATTTTTGCCTAAAATGAAAAAATATATGAAATTAAATTTTATTAATTTTTTTTAATTTTATTAATATACAAATCTATTTTTTACATACTGGTAAAAATGAAACTGGAAAGTTATATTTTAAATAACAATCTGGTAATAATTTATAACACAGTGAAAAGACAGGTCCTTGTGGATTAAGAAAATTACAAAGTGTTTCATATTCTTGAGCATTTTTCTTAAAAGTAATGCTATGTAAACCCCAACCAATATTGTCAGTAATCCCAAATAATGAATCTATTAATATTGAAAATACATGTTGTAATTCTGTTGTGCTTGATTCATCTATTAACATTGCTATTTCCTTGCATCTTTGCACCAATGGCATGTTTAAGTATCTTTGTAGTCTGATCTGCATATTAATTATATGAAATAAATTAGATAGTTGTGTAGAATAAAATTAAAAATTAAATTAAATTGTTAATCTAAATTAAAACATTTAATAAAATTTTTCATTTAATATTCTACATTAAAAAATCGAAATATCTCATCTCTTATTGTTATTCTATTTACAATGTGCAATATATTTGTTTAATATAATTTCATTCAAATAAAACATGTATAATATTTTATATATTAATTTATTTATAAAAAATAATACATTTTTAATTAATTACAAAATTTGCATTGTTTTAATAAATAAATATTTGTACTCTTTAAGAAAGCCGGTTAAAGAATTTTAGGTTAAGTATAGGTTATGTTTTCACAAAAAAATATATATATTCGATTAATAAAAATATGATACATGTATGCAATACCGTAGCAACGTCTGAAGATGCAGCCATATTCGTATTTATTTATGTTTCCACGAATTATTAAAAGTAACATTTAAAAAAAATTTACTGACAATTTATTGACTAATTCATGCCATACACACAGTTTAGTAATAATGTTTACCACTACAAGAAATTTTTTCCTAGGGAAAAAAAATGGAGAATTTTCTTAATTTTAAAATATAACATTTATAGAAATCATAAAATTATAAATAAGAAATTATAAAATCAACTGCATTGCTTTTTTTTATAAAAATTTTTTAATTTGTATTTCAATCATTTTTTTTTACATTCTATTAACAATTCATCATTTATAAAGTGATTCATTCAATATTCGCGTTATCGTTTTGTAAAATTCACACAATAATTAACAATTCATTATCAAATAAAATTAAATTATTTATTGTTTTTTTGACCACATGAATAAATTCCAGGTTTGTAAGTCGGTAAAAATGGCATGTAATGTGTCCATTTCCATCTAAAAAAATATTGAAATTTGAAAAAATGAATTGAATATTTAAGTTTTAAAACATAAAAATTTTTAAAAAAAAGTATTATAAAAAAGAAAAAAAACCTTCGTAAAATATCCATTCCAAATGGAAAATCAAATGTATTAAATATGTGCTCTTGATCCTCTTTTTCCTCTTTTGCTGTATTTAATTCCATTTCATTTGACCAAGCAATAAGTCCACGTTCCTCAGGTGTACCTTACAATTAGATATTACGATTAGAATTAATAGCAATAAATAAAAAAAAACATTTTATTATTTTATGAGTAAAACACATTAATATTTATATATTAAAAATTTTTTCTATGAATTATACCTGGTATAATATTATCTAATAAACATCCCACAATACCTCCAACTAAGATAGTTGTGCTAAGTAATACTGTAACTACACTATCGAATATTTCATTTTTGGTTTGTATTACTCCTGGATGATTAATCATCCATTTTGATAAAACCTGAAAATTTACAGAAATAATTTAATTATTTTTTTATATAAAATTAATTTAAATTACTAATTCAACTACTAATTGAATTTTTGTTTTCTTTCTTTGCTAATTGTATATTTTTTAAAAGTTGTTAAATGTACTAAATATTTTATTACTAATTATTTTACCAGTGGGAAAAAAATGGAAAATCCAAGAATGTATAAATTCCTTGCAGAATTTAAATTTACATATTGTAATGCAGAAAGACCTAAAACATATTATTCTTAACTTCTTTTTTAATTTTCTTTTTAAAATAATTTTATTTGAAAAATATATTATGATATACCGAAGGCACAGATCATTCCAAACATTATACAAAATATTCCGCCGACTATGGGCTCAGGAATGATGATAAAAACAGCGCCAAATTTACTAATCAATCCTTGGAGGATCATTAATCCGCATGCCCATTGAATAACTCTGCGACTGCCAACTTTCGTAACACCTGATAATGTATTGTTTAAATAAGTTCCAGCTCAAAATGTTTTTATACGTATGAACGTTAAAAAAATATTACTCATAGACTACAATCTAAGAATATTATATAATTTACCAATAGTTCCTACATTTTCTCCAAACGTATTTGTACCGTTTCCGCTTCCCCAAAGACCAGCTAACATTGTTCCAAGGCCTTCCATACCAATACCTCGATTAATAGCGTGAACTGGAGGAGGAGGAGCTCCTAAAAATAAAATTTTCTATTTTTTATTTAAAAATTATTTTTTATTTAAAAATATATAATAATAAGAATACTAATATTTATTTTAAAAATTTCTAATTATTAATTTAAAAATATTAAAAATTTTTTAAATTAACAAATTTTTTTATTTTATATTCAATTTAAAATTTGTATTTTTTATTATTTATTTTATTTATTATTTATTATATTATATTAATGTTATTATAATTGTTACGTACCACACATTCTAGATGTTGTTGGATAGTAACTGATAGATTCCACTGTACATGCCAATACACCAGCTAACATGCCGAGTACACCAGATAAGGATACAGTAGGTGTACCCCATTGACCAGGATAAGGAAATCGGAACCATGGAGAATCATTAATAATCTTTAATTTACTGTCCGCTCTGGCTGGATGACCAACTGGTAAAATATCCGTTACAGTTAAAATCGTGCAAATTATCCACATGACTATTATAGTTAACAGTACCTAAAATAGAAAGAAACTGAAGATAAAAGATTATATAAAATAGAAAAAACTAATATTATCGATAGAAAATATAGATACAAATAAAATTTAAAAGAAAATTGTAATAAAAAAAAGAACCAGGAATAAAAATTTGTGCCATTTTTATTAAATTCATTATGTAATTACCGGGAATAGTTTAAATAATTCAAACCACACGATTCTAATTCCTTGACCCTTACGATACATTAATATCGGGAACGGCACATTAACAAGTATTTGAGAATACAATGTTAACATCAGTATTGTTCTGTAAAAGATTAATAGATGAGAAGAATTATGTAAAAACTTTTTGTGACATGAACTAAATTTTATTAATTAAATTATTTGTTCAGAATTATTCAAATAAAAATAATTTAATAAATTAAGAATTATTGAATATCATTTTTTTATAAAGAAGAAAATAATATGCATTTACCCAGCTGCGATACCCCAATGTTTAGATGCAGCATCAGCTGCATTCTCAAAAAGGGATATTCCAACTAGAGAAACAGTTGGCACAATAGTCAATGGTGTAATGAATTTCAATAAATATCCAATGATACCTATTTCAAAAATTATATCAGAAAAGGAAGATTCACTGTTCAAACAATAATTTAAATACAATACCTCCAAATCCAACTATTACTTGAAACAAAGAGGATACAGCAATGGCTCCTGAAAGTTCCCTCATTCTAATTTGCCATATTTCTGTGCGATTAGCAGAGGACAATTCATTCAAAATCTCTGGTGGCGGACACTTCCATTGTGGTAAACTTAAGATTGCAAGAGTTGGGACTAAAAAGGAAATGGTTCCTCCTTGAACAAGAGGTAATCTATAACAAAGAATAAAAAAAATAATAAATATTATTATTATGATTTATTAATTATTAAAGTATACAAATATTAGAAAATGTTATAAAATAGAAATATTAAAATAATGATAAATACATAAATATTAAAGTATTCCAGCAAGAATACTAATATTCTTAGTATATAATAGTATTCCAGTAAGAATTCCAGTTAAAATATTCGAATTTAAAATGATTGCTTAAATATTATGTAAATATTAGATTTTTAGAAATAAAAATACTAGAATAATAAAATAATAAAAATACTAGAATAATAAAATAATTATAGTAAAATAATATCAAAAAGTATTGAAACATTGAAATATTAGAGAATACTGTATTATTAATATTTAGAAACAATATAAAATTCTGAAATATCAAAAAAATTATATAGAATGAATATATTTCTATAATTTAAAAGTCAAATTATGATATAATGAAAATTATAAATTATAATATATATATATATATTTACAATATATAAAAAAATGATTTTTTCAAATTAGTAAATAAAACTCCGTCTTCATTTTAAGTCATAAAATTTGAAGTAAAAACAGAATATTACTCTTTCTCAGAAAACTGTTGAGTATCGTTAACGATCTGTAAATCTTTTTAAACAAGATAATTCTCGGCAATAAAACAAAATTAGCATTAGAACCAGGTATAGACGAGTTATCAAGTACGAAGCATAAACATATAAATATCGATTACGAAGACTTTCGTATCCAATCTTGATTCTTAAAATTCAAACACTTTACTCCATTTATAGGCAAATTATGAACTTTGCAATTACATAATATGAAATATTGCAACTATTAGCATTCCGATAAGATAATCGTTAAAAACATAATTAAAAATTATTATAAACTACGTTATAAATTAAAAATCATTTTGACTTAAATTATAAAAAATATTATACAAGTAAAAGATACAAATTTTCTTGAAAAATTAGCAAAAAAAATTTTCTCTCTTTTTCTAAAATTTAATAAATTAAAAAAGCTCTAAAAATATTATTATTTTTATTAATTTTCTTAGGATTATTATTTCTTATTATTCTTATTAGGATTATGAATATTATATCAATTAATCGATAAATATTTCATTAAACGAATTCTAGCCTGCATTCGTTTCATATACAACATTTATAAATATCATGAGTCATTTTAATTCAAATTTATAACAATAATATGTAATATGTAGCAGTTACAGTCTCGAAATTTTTTTATCTATAATCTATTGCTCGAAATATTTGTAATTTTAATCGTGAGACTAAGCTCGAATTATCTATTACTATTACATATTGCTCGAAATATATATAATTGCTTTGTATGAAGTTGAATTGGTGACTATTAAGTCTTATCAACTTAATATTTTAGAATAATGCGCAACAATTTTTTCAATATGAGTTTTCAAAATGCGTGAAAATACTTTTAACTACTTTTAGAAATAGAAGGAATTATAAGTTTATAAAAGAATTAATTTTATTGAAGTAATTTAAAAAAATATGATAATGATAAAATTAAATATGAATTATACATTTTTCAGATTGGCAAAGAAAAACTTATTATTAATTTAATCACCTGCATCCTATAGTGGTTTGGAAAAAAGTGACAAGTCCTGTAACGAAGATCATAGTGGAGATGATGTAACTTCTCGCTGGGTCATCCTCTGCCATACATAGAGCTGGTGTCAAAATGAAAGGAATCGAGACTATTGCACCTATCATAGTTAAATAATGCTAGAAAACATATAATTAATTTTAAAAATAATGTTAATAAGAATGATTTTAATAGAAATAATAAAAAATTAAAATCTGAAGTGAACAAATTTTATTCTATATTTTTCAATTTATTTTTTCATGTAAAATCATTGTCTATCCAATTATATCATTATCACTTGATATATAATATAGATATACGATTATAAGCATATTGATCAACATTATTAGATAGAAGACGAATCATCAAGATTTCGTAAATAGTAAAATAAATAGAAGAATTAACCGTTCTTATGCTTATTGTTACTTCGAACATGTTTATCTGAAATATAAACGATCACGATAAAAGTAAAGAAAAGTACCTGTAAAGCCATAAATAAGCAAAGGTACCAGGGTGGGACATCATCAATGCCATAGGTGAGATTCGTATTTCTGTTAGTTTTATTTGGTGGTGTTAATGTTGAATTTTCTATATTCTAAAACAATAATCATATATGTATATATATATTAAATATCATATATAAAAATTATCTAAATTCATTTATAATTGTATATTAATTCTGAAAAAATTAAACTTAAACTCAAATTTTTATATAAGGGATTTTTTATATTTTATCTTTTGAATGAGAGGAAGATTTTTAATGACAATATAATTTTTTTTTTGAAAAAAATGTTTAATATTAATTCTAAAATGAGAATATATATATATAGCTTCTATACACAATAGGATACATAAATTTATTTTAATAATAAGAAACTAGATTATATAATTACATAATAAAATAAATCAAGATATATCTTATTGTGCTCATTAAAATAATAATATATATCTAATGATATTATTCAGCAATTATATTATATACTGTATACTAAATAATTATATTAAAGAAAATTATCATTTATTGATTTTTTATTTAATCTTAAAAAAATTTAAAAAACTTTTTAGCAATTTTATTAATTTATTTTAACAATTATCATTCCACTAAATAAATAATAGAATTTTAAATTAATTTAGAACTAATTATTATTAATTAGAACTAATTAATAACTTATTTTGTTTTTTTTTCAAAATATGCATATACCGTGATATTATTTTTATAATTATATTATTTTACTATGAATTTAAAATATTGTGTAAAATCTGATTAATAAAAATGGATTTTTACAGAATCTATTTTTTTTACTGGTAAAATAGAAATAATCATTCAATCTTGAATCTAATCACAATTTATTAGATTCATGACGTAGTTAGTATGTATTCTTAATGAATCGATTAGAATGTTATTCTTTTTTAGCTACACGATTATTGAGGATCACAATCAAATTTATATTTCGATAGAAGATATTCAATGTTTCTTATGTTTTTTAATTATATTTAGCAAAATAAAATATCAATAAAAAATATTTTTTTCTTTATTTAAGAATAATTATTATTTAAAACTTTTACATTGCATAACTTGAATGTATTGAATTAAATTACAATTACTAATCTGAGAAACATTGGTTTTTTTCACATAATAATATAATTATTATTTGGAGTATAGAAAATATAATATATTTTCAAAAATTAATGAAAAATATTAAAAATATTTTTATCATACACGCATAATACTAACAGAATATTTTTATAATTATTGATATTAAATATTTTATAATCTAATTTGCAATGATTTTATAATCTAAATTTATATCAATTTAAATATTATTATATCATCTACATATTATGAATATATTAAATTTTTAAATTTTTATCTTTTTAGATGAATGGGATTTAATTTTAGATCTAAATATCAAACAATAAGTGAAAAATTTATGTTAAACAAAAACATATAAAGTTATTGAAGGAAGAATTATTTAATTGAATATTTCTTTAATTCAAGCACAACCGTTAAATTATATTCAATTGCTCGATGTGATAAAAATCTTTCTATAATAGGAATTCCAAACAATTTATTAAAAAAAAAAAAAAAACAAAAGAATTATTAAAAATTTGATATTGTGCATACTACTTTTTCAACTACTTACCACCTCGGTCATCTGCATTCCATTTTCAGACATTTTGAAATTATATATTTATATTGTTTATGGATACTAAAAAATTAATTTTTCCTACATTAATCTTAATTTTAATCAAAAATAGATTCCATAAATATGAAAACCTCCAAACGATTCTTCAGGAACCGCAAAAAAAATAATGGAAACGCTTCTTCACTTGATATCGCGCATCCACGTTAAACGTTAGCGACAAACTGTGTCAATAGACATGATCGCTCCTTAATTTATCGCTAAATGGCTGCTTAGAAACCAAGTATTAGCTGGATTATTTTTATTTTGACAATGATGGCGATCAAAAAAATATCAATAGAAATTAATAAGTAGAGACGCGATTAATTAACAATAGTAAAAATTTATAAAAAATATATCTACTGATAGAAACAAAATACTATTCTAAGATAATTTTTTAAGCAAGTTGTAAAATTCCATAGCGTTTTTTTTTTAAATAATTCAATCTAAATAATGTTATTCCTCGAAAATGATGTTATCTTTTAATTTATAATTTATTATAGTAGATTATAATTATACAGTAATATATACAATAAATTATAAAATTAAATTGTTTTGAAATACACGTGTCAATTATATGCATGCCAAGGAATCTCGCTCATATAACTTCGTATTGATAAAAATAATATTATCTATAATTTAGCAATGCTATGTAACTATCAATTTTGTTAAACAGATCAATTAATTAAATATTAAATTTAAATTCATTATTTATTCAGTAGATTTTTTTAAAACTTGGATCTTTTAGTTTAATAAAAATATTTAATATTTTTACTTAAATAAATCAACTTGAAATAAGCATTTGAAACTTATGCAAATATTTATTTTGATGTGCAATTTTTAGAAATTATTACATACTAAATAGAAACTTAAATCTAAACTAATATTTTATAAACAGTGATATGACATAAATATTCTTTCTAGATCTTCACTTCTTTAAGATAAATTAACGATATAATCTATAAATAACATATATTGTTTGTACAGATTTAAATATGGTTTTAATAAAAAATAATAAAATTTATATATTCTTTGATGAAAAATAATATTAATAAATTAATTTCTTCTTTGTTGTTTTTTAAACTTGTAATAAATACATTTACTATTTTTAGTTAAGATGAAATTATTTCTAATAATTTTTATAATATTATCAAATAAATAACTTAATAAATTATTTATATAAATGTCAATCAAAATAGTATTAAAAAAATTTATTAAAAATATAAAACGTGAAAAATGTTTGATTTTCCCGCCTGAAAGATGGCGCTCATATTATTGAAAACTATAGAATATATAACCTCAATATTTATATAGTCGAAGCTGTGTATCATAACCTATCGTATTATTTCTTCTTTGTGTTGTGCATTATAAATAGATAATTTAAAATTCATATTTCATGTGTCCTTTGAAATTTTTTGTAAAAGAAAATAAAAATTTTTATAAAAAGATATAGATAAATATATAAAATGGATGAACTAAGTGAACCTATGGATGTGGAAATGCTTCCAATTATTGATGACAGCAAGATTGTTGATTCTAATCAAACGAATATAAAGACATTTAATACGAACAATGTACACGTATCAGAGGTAAATAAATATAAATAATCAATTTATAATTATATAATTAATGTCACATTTTATTAATTTTCTTGTCATTATTTTGCTTTTATGTTTTGTAATATAACTTTGCTATTTAATTCATTTTAGCTTTAATCAAAAATTATTTTATAATCTTAAATTATAAAAACGTTATATTTATATTAAATTATAAAATTAAAAATTAATATGATACATTTTATTTAAATAGGTACAGTTAGATAACCGTTATGAAAATCGTGGTGGTACTTTTACGACAGGCATAGATATATTTAGTAAAGAAGAAAAACTTAAAATGGAAGAGAGAGCTAAGCGTTTTGGATTAACAGATAAAATAAAAAATAATCTATCAAATCAAGAACAAGATTTATATTCTAGGTAAAAATATTAATTTCACAAATAATGTAATAATAGTTTGATAATCATGATGCATAACAGATTTTTTTTATATTTAGTATGGGCATTGTAGAAGACAGTGAAAATACAAAAAATATTAGACTAAATGTAATACATATGAGAGGAACTGAAGAAATGAGTACCAAAGATGTTTTTAAATATTTTGAAGATTATGCCCCAGCTTCAATTGAATGGATTAATGATGTTTCATGTAAGAATAATTTTACCTTATAAATTTTAATATAAGTATTAATATTTTCAAAACATTATATGAATTTTCATTTTTCGGAATATATTAAAAAATAAAATAGATTAAATTTATTAATACATAACATATTATAGGCAATGTAGTATGGTTAGACAATTTATCAGCTGCTAGAGCTATGTTGGGATTATCAAAAAGAATTATGGGTTTAGAAAAACAAAAAAGTACAAAAACACTTGATAGTAATCCTGATGAAGAAAACAATGTAGCTAATGATGATTATACTGTTGAAATGGTCGAAGATAATGAAACTGTAACAAAGAGTATAGAGGAAGGCTATATAAGTATCAAGGATATTAATTGTCCATTACCACCTGGTTTATGGAGGAAGGGTATAGATTATCCTAAATCTAAAGCAATATTTCTTAGATTTGCTACTAGAGCAGATAAAAAGCAACCAAATGCAGAAAAAATGAGTGAATATTATAAAAAATATGGAAATCCTAATTTTGGAGGTATTATAAAAATATAAAAATATTAAAAATATTCCATTAAAATATTCTATATAAATAAATAAAATTCTCCTTATAGGTATTAAAGGAATTTTAACTGAGTCTCGAAAACGAATGTATAAACAAATTAGACAAAGTAAAAGAAGATTCAAAGAAGAGTCACAAGAAGATGTTAAAGATAAGAAACGTGTGAAAAATCCATGGGGTGCGTTATCAGAAAGTTGGGGACTTAATGATGCTATAGAAAATGAATTTGGTACTAGAAATGAATCTAGAGATCAAGGACGTAGTGTGAAAGATAGATTAGGGATAAAATATTCCCAAAAAGAAATTACACACACTGAAGAACAACAAAGTACTTCAAGTAGTGATAGTGAAAATGAATGGTGTAAAAGAAGTAAAGTATTACGAATGCGTATGCATGCGGATGATGAAGAAAAAAAAATACACAAACGTCGCGCAAAACTTCGAGAACAAGTAAATTTAATTTTTAATTGAATGAAAATTCTATAATGATAGAATTTAATATTCATTATAATATATTTACAGACAATATTAAATAGTTTAAGTAAAGGCAATGATTTACGATCGAGGCTCAGCAAATCAAAAAAAGGAACGCAATTTCGTGATGCAATCCAAGTAGTTGTAACAAATACAAATGTAACAAAGTCGAATTCATTAAAACTTAATGAATCAGAGGTAATAATTATTAAAAAATTAATATTGAATTACAATTTAAACTAAAAATAAAAATTTATTATTATTAAAAATAAATTAAAAATAATAATTTATGAATTATACTATATTGCATAGGAGGAAGATGGTGAAATTATAGAAGATAATGAAAGCCAGGAAAAAGAAGAAGGCGAATGGCAAGGATCTGATATAGAACGAGAAGAAGACGAAGATGAAAATTATAGTGATGAAGATAGTGACAAACCAGTAAAAGAAGTCCAAGGACCTAAAGGCAGTGTAATAAAAGTAGTTCAGCATAAACCTCGTGTTGCTTCTACAGTGTGGGCAAGACTTAATAATGTAAAAAGCGAAGTTATTGATAAATCTATCAAAAATAGGTAAGAATTTAAAAATATAAATATTTTGTTTGTATGTATAATATTTAAAAATAATATATATCAATTTTGAAGGCAATCAAGAATACGAGATCTCAGAAATACATTAAAAGGTGATCTTCGATCTCGAATCGGAAATCATACAAGAGGTCGTTCTCCTTTAAGGATAGAAGTGAAAAATGATAAATATACAGAAGGAAGTGAAACAGAATAATTATCGATTAGTCAAACAAATTGTCATAAAAAATGTGAAATGTGGTTGTGGTGTTCTATTTCAGTGGAAGAGAATGGTATGGTGCAAACTTCCTAATTGATGTATAAAAAATAGAAAATGCACTCATTACACCGAATTTACTACTTCGTTTAATTGTATACTTTTATGTAAATTAAGATGTTCTAAAATCGCATGAAATCAAATTTTAATCATGAACATATTTATTTATATTAATAAAATATATATGAGAAAAAATTTTGTTGATATACAGACTTGAATCATAGAATATTAAATTTGAAATATCGTATTTTTAATTTTAATTGACTAAATATTTAATATTGATATATTTTTGACTGTGTAAGAATTAAAAATTTTCTATTTAACCAAGAATTTTTTTGAAAAAATATGTACTGGATACATATTTATCAATATAATTTTCCATAATTTTTTATTATTTATATAATTCAATTATAAATGAATTATATATCGATCTTTTAGTAATGATTAACAATGCTATTAATATATATATTGTATACATAATATATTCCAAATATATTCTTAAAATGAGATAAAATACAAAATAAATACAAATAAACGGGTAATGAGTGCTTCCTGGATTGTATATAAATATTATCTAGTATAGATAATAATAAAAAACAATTTTTCATTAACACATTGTATACTGAGAAATAGAATGTATTTTTAAATATTCGTTTGTACATTTGAAATTTTCACTGAGAATTGAAAAATGTTTTGTAATTATAATTCGAAAAAAGATATTTTCGGATACTATTTAATTAATAGAGAGATAAATTTATACTTTATCGTACAAAAAAATTCTACAAACGAATATTTAATCAATTATACATCGAAACAATATAGTTTTACAGTTTCTTTCCTTTAAAATTTAATGGTTATATCAGTTTAAAAAATCAATAAAAAAATAAAGAAAAATACTCAACTCGGTTGTAAATAAAAATTGTATAAGACTAATTTCCGTATATGTAGAGCATTTAAAATATTTTTCTTGCGTTTATGATGATTAATGAAATATTTTGACATCTGTGATTTCTTAAATATGTATAAAAAATTAAAAAAAAAAAAGAATTAATATGTAATTTCATAAACAATTCTTTTTAATTTTAATTACAAAATGAAATATTGTAAAATTTGTAATTTTTTGACAAGTATATTAAAACACATACGTAAAAACAAAAGAAACAAAAAAAAAAAGAAAAACTAAATCAATATCTATTTGAATTTAAAAGAAATAGGGATATGAATAATTATAACATCGATTCCGAATAATTGACCAATAAAGCCGCATTTATATTAGCACAATAATATTTTGAATAGTCATTTTAAAATACAATAATCGATAATTATGATTTCAGTATATATATATATATATATATATACACATATATATATATTTATCATTTACACAAATAACAATTATTCGGAGAAATATTCGGCTGAATTCGAAAAAGATAAATAAAAAAAAAGATTTATCGTTCGAAGAACACAGTGGATTATCGGAATATTCTTTTAGCTGCATTCATAAGTTTCTATCTGTTACTTTGATTCTACGTTAATTTATAATTTTATTTTATATTATAAATATTTCAAATGAAATCTATTGTGGTTTATTAAAAAAAAAATATTAAAGAATAAGAATAATAAAAATATTAAATATTAAAGTATTATTTTTAATTCGAACATAAGATACTGAAATGATAGATTCTATAAATGCAGCTTGGAGGCACGAGGTAATTTAATGTATTAACAAACGAGATATGATATTTTTGATACTATTAAAGCACGTAACGTAATTTTTTTTAATTATGTGTTTATCTAAAATCGTGTGTATATCGAAAACCATTTAATAACTATCCACATATATATCCATTAACTGTGATTTTAATATCTAATATTATATCTACATTTTTATGTTTCATCAAGTATAAGATCTATTTTGTGAATTAGCTCTCATTAATTAATATTCATTTTTTTGTTTTCTTCAAAATCAGAAATATCAATCTCATTTGCTAAAAGGTAATCGTGCAAGATATCGAGGATTTCTTTCTTCTATCCTACATAAAAATTGTTGATGTATTTTCTAATTAATTCTTTTCCTTCTTTTAAATCAATCGATAAACGCTACTTTCGCTTTTTTCATTTTCTTTCGCATTTCTTTTTCATTTTCTCTCTTCTTTTTGTTCTTTTTGTTTTCTCATAAATGACGTATAACATTTAAAATCCATAGACGAAATATTTTTTTAATATTCGGATATATAAGATATGAATCGGCAACAACAACAAATACACGCAACGTTTAAGTATATTAGGCCTGATGATATTGATAATAATTCTATCAATATATATTAAACGCTACAATTTATCGTTGCTCGCATTCCACTTGCATGTCTCTTTCTTCGCGATAATGGTGTTCCAATGTTATTAATTTTTTTCTTATTCTTTTTTTATTTATTTTTATAATTATATCAGCAGTCGTTAAGAATATCCGATAACAAATTATATTTGATGGAAGTTCTTTAACAATAATTAATTATTTTCAACGAAATTTGTACGTTTGCATAAGGTACGATACTTGACATAGGATCATAGCAAATGTACAATATTTCTTATTTTATTAATTGTTTTAAACATCGGATCTCATATACCGTGAAGAGAATAGACGGGAACTTTGAAATTTTATGGAATTTAAATGCATCGCAACTTTTTTTTAATACATTTTTAATACTTGATTGATTTGATACTAATCTCGTCATTCTTACATTTACAAACGAATAGAAAGATTCAAAGATTTGTTTCACCCCTTAGATGAACTACATAATAAATTACATGATAAATAAGAAAATTTATAAGTTAATTTTTTATCGTTTTTTTTTTTTTTTTATAATCTGTGAACATTGTTTTCAAGTTCTGATTAATAAATTTTTTTTTTTTTGNTTTTTTTTCTTTTTTTCTTTTTTTTTTTTTTTTTTTTTTTATTGTTTTTCCATTTTTGAGTCAATTCTCACGCGTAAACGAGTTTGGAACACCGATATCGTCATGGTCAGTTAACCGACTCGTTATAATGTGCCCTCGGTCTCTCGAGGCAGCTCGTGAAAATTATTTGACAAACATCTCACGGTTTACTAATCATTCAACAGTCGCAACTACTTTTGAGACTCTAAATTAATGTCTTAAATATATACATAGATTAAGTTACGAAATTCGGACACATAGCAACTATACACGCAGAAATATTCGGACATGTAAACGTCGAACTGTTTCAAAAATCAGCTTCATGTATAATGCTCGAGGGACTTTTATTTAAGCTTCAAAGACAAAATTGAAATATATACGAGGAAGGAAAGATTATATTTATATATGAATTAGTTTTAATTTATATTTTTATAAGAAATTATGAATTAATAAAATTCAAAGAAGTATTATTATTTTTTTTTTTGTAAATTTTTCTAAGAAATTTCGTACCGATTTATTTTTAAAAATATCGATAAATGTATACTTTATTTATTTCAAAATTTATTGCACAACTCAGTGGGTCATTAAGGAAAAAGCAGAACGTATAAATGTGAACAAGAGTTGAAAGCTTGTTACACAATTTTTTAAAATCTTTCTTCCTTGTAAATAAACTTGTATTCGAAACACGCAGAGATACTGACAATTTTATGAATTCTAGATAAATCTGATAAGATAGTAAATTCATCGTAAAATAAAATTAAATAAATTCCCAGTATCGGGCGTGTCGTGAGCATGAACCGAAACGTTTCACATCGAGAATTTAATAAGAATAGTGCACGTACATATTTCAACGAGCGAGTGTTCTCTTCGAGATTTCTTATGCTCAGAAAAAAAGAAACACATGGAGGAATTTTTTCAGTATGAAAAGCAATGCGCATATTGGTTAATTGCTAATTTCCATTGATGAAATCATCGTTTAAATATCCGTCAACGACGTCAACGATATAGTTATAATTACAAGGACATAAACCGTAAAAAAACGTCGCATTAAAACCTTCTCTTTAAGAAAATAATTAGATCTATAATATTTTTCTTCTGAAATGAATTTTCTTCTCTAATTTTCAAGAGAAATTTCTTCTTTAATCATAAAAGAATAGAATAAAAATAGAATTTTTTTTTTTATCTTCTTAATCAATAATTCTAATCAATCATTATTATTTTCAATTTGAAAAATTATTATATCCTTACGAAAATTCAGAATCTCAAATGATGAAAGCTAATTATATATTATTGAAGTTCTGTTTTTAAATTTCTCAAATATGCCTTTGATATTGTAAAATATACTAAATTTTTCTCTTATGAATTGTTATTTTTTACAAGATTCCGGATATAAGCGGCTACAAGGCTGAATCGATAATCCAATAAATCCTTCAATGCTCTGTAAAGCATAAAATATGCTGAGAAATAGAAAAGAACACTCATGGGATATAATATTTTTCCTCTTTGTCTTTTTCTTTCAAATAGTAAAATCGTGAAAGGGTGCTAGAAATTGAAAATAACGAATCGTTTTCGTTATTTCCTCTCAAATAACTTGTAATCTGAGAGGAAAGAAACACACCGATGTTTCTTTCAAGCAAATTATTGTGAATATATAATATACTATAGATAAATATCATTAATGAAGAATTATTTTATTAGATGCATCGAAGAATATGAGATTTAATAGTCGAATGAGGCAAATAAATGCTTATATCGAATCGTTCATACTATATTTCTGCTATAGTAATTCTTCTTCTTCTATCGTTTTCATGTCTCATTCTCACTTACATTTTCTCTCTTTATCGTATTTATTAATAAGACTTTATCGTTTCACTTATTTTCTCAATTATACGCCAAGACTTTGATTTTGAAGGATAGTGTTTCTTTTTTCTTTTTGCTTTGCTTCTTAAATATTTTAAATGTATTCTCGCCACCTCAAATAGCATCAGATTGTCATTGGAAAACGATGAAATACTTATATTTTATAGAAAAAGAGAATTCTTTTTTTAATATAATTTTTGAAAAAGGAAAAGAATGATGAATATATATAAATAGCTTAAATTTTACTCGTACTTCGATATCATTCGAATCCATTCTTATATTATCACAATCGAATAAGGTTCTTGTTATTCATCTTCGATGAGACATTTGTATATGTAAGTTGATTATTATTTTGACTATTCGTCGCGACATACTTCTTTCCAAAGATGTGTTGTATTAACTACGGATATATATTATAATATATAAAATAAATGTTTGCGAATATACACCACATTTAGAGCGAAAAAGATGAATCGAAATAAGAGCATTCACATTATTATGAGGTTTAACTCATATAATGAGTTTGAATCAGATTCAGTAAGTTGACTCTAGGAAGAAATCAATATGGTTACAACTAGCTTTTTTAAATTACAAAAAAAGCATAGAAAAAAAAAGATAATTAATATAAGTGACAAGCAACCGTTCCTCGAGATATTTATTAATAATAAAGAAAATAAAGAAAAGAAAAACAAAAGACACATTCTAACATATAAAAGATTGGAAATGTAAAAAATAGATAAATTCACAGATAATTACATTCAAAGGCATCATACAGACATCATACACTCCATCGCACAAGAATGGCAGTATCAGTGTAATAATACCTGTAAATCGTGAAACAAGATGTAATTAAACAGTTTAGAAGAACTGGAAGCTGCATCAAATGCAATTAACTATGAACTAAACAGTTTTTGAGCATCTCGCTTTCTCTTACTTTTTCATTCTTCCATTTGCTCTTTCTCACATGTGCATACATTCGCTCATTATTTCATTTATCTTCTTTCGTTTTCTTTTGCTCATCTACAAGCTAAATCCAATAGAGGCAGAACAGAATTTCTGCAAGGTACATAACTACTATAAGAATGACATAATAATAATATTATTATTAAGAATAATAAAAATAATAATATTAATAAGGAAATTATCAGCAAATACTTTGTGAATTTAATGTTCAAAATATATATACTGTGTGCATGTGTGCTCATATATATGCACATATTAATTAAGAATAAGCACACAGTTTCAGATTCTCTCGCACTCTCTCTTTCATTCGCTCTCATTCTCATTCTCCCCTCTCTTTTTCTCTCTACGCACATTCATTTTATCGGTCGCCGTGTTACGTGGTTCAGAATATCTCGCACGTTATACCGACCACGTCACTCGTTCGGCAATTAAATCACAGACAATGTGTATGATACGGTGATTAACAATAAATCGTCAACTAGCATTACCTATATATAATTCGGGATAAATAAAAGTTATTGTACAAATTAATATTATGCATTCAATTGTAACAAAAAAGACACTGTATTTTTGTTTCTTTTTTCTCCGGTAAAGACATGCGAATGTACAAGTATATGCACGGACACTGCGGTTTATTTCTTTACCTCGTTCACCGCTCCATTCGTTCATTTTCACAAACTCGCCTGTGTATATGTTTGTAGCTTAACTTTAAGCCTTGCTCCGATAAAACATCTTCGTAAAAGTTTCGTTTTATTTTATTTTATTTTTCTTTTTTTTTCTTTCTTGCTTTGATCGTAGACAACTATAAAAGTACACTTTCGTTACTCTGATATTATATTTTCGCTTCTTTTTTGGTTATTCTGCAAATTCACTGCAGCTGAAACATTATTAATTATTATAAATATAATATTGATAATTTTTTTAAATATTTAATATTGATGAAAAATAATAAATACCAATAGACTACATAGCGTTTTCTTGATGATTCTTTTGGAATAATATAGTTTCTTCAAAGATATATTGTTTTAATACTTCTTTTGGAAGATCATCTAATTCCATGTCAAACTTAAATGGTTCTTCTGCAACTGGCTAAAAATAGCATGTTATAAAATTATTTTAAGTATTTGTCTAAATATTTAATGTCTAATAGTAGAAAATATACTTCATCAGCAGGATCATAATATTGCTCTAAATAAGGATGTGCTAAAGCATCCTCTACAACAATCCGTTTGTTAGGATTAAATGTTAACATTTTATCTAACAAATCTAAAGCTCGCAAATCGGCATTTGGAAATAAACTTGTCCATGGAACCTTTGGTTTATATGGTAATGATTGAAGATAATTTCGTGCCTAAAATAATATTTTATAATTGTACGTATAATGTATTAATATAATGATATAAAAGAAAATTAAACATAAAAAAATGATTAATACTTTTTCATTTATAATGCATTCAAGATCCTCAGGGGATGGTGATCCAAGGACTCCCAATATATGATTTAGTTGATCTAAATAGTGTTTACCAGGAAATATTGCTCTTCTGGAAAGCATTTCTGCAAGAATGCAGCCAACTGACCAAATATCTATAGACTTAGTATAGCCCTGTAAAAAAGATAATAAAATCTGTTATATTTATTCTAAAATATTCTAAAATTTATATTTCTAAAATTATTCTAAAATTTTAAACTAAAATGATTCAAATTCTATTATTCATTGGATTTAAGCACCTTGGAATTAAGCATTATTTCTGGAGCTCTATACCACCTTGTTGCTACATATTCAGTAAGAAAACCAGCATGATTATGCTCTGGATCAGCAACTCTAGCTAAACCAAAATCACAGATTTTAAGGTCACATGTGGTATTTAACAGCAAGTTGCTTGGTTTCAAGTCTCTATGTAATACATTTGCAGAGTGAATATACTTTAATCCCCTTAATATTTGGTAAAGAAAATAACATATATGATCATTACTAATAGCCTGAAATTAATGAATGAGTTTTAAATATATTGATATTTTTTTTTATAATTTCATTTATTAATATTAACTATACTAACCTGTGTTTTAAGAAGTTTATAGAGATCAGTTTCCATTAGACATTGAACAATATATACATCTTTCATTTGTTCTATAGTAGGTGCCCTTAATATATCTCTTATATCTATTATCTAAAAAAGGAAGTATAAAATCAACAAATTTTTTATCAATAAATTTTACTAATTATATTTACAAAGCTGATTAAATTACTTACATTTTCATGCTTAAACCTAGTCAAAATTTTTATTTCTCTTAATGTTCTCTGACTATATGTTTGATGTTCAAAGGGTGAAATTTTTTTAATAGCTACTTTTGTTTTTGTTACATTATCATAAGCAGATCTGCAAAAAAATTTCAAAATACTTAAGACATTTAAAATTTTTTTCATTAAATTGTTTTATCATATATTTCAAAAATAAATATAATAATATTATTAAGAAAAAAATAATAAAACACATAAAATATATACATAAGATTTGTTTCTTAGTCTAGAATCATAATACAGGAAGTAATTTTACAGTATCTTTTTTTTTTATTTTTAAAATTTATTTTAAGTTTAAATATATCATATTCTAAAAATATCTTCTTAGTATATTCAATATATCTACTCAATATATTCAAGTATATTAAAAAAATAAAATAAAAGTTAAAACAATTAAAAAAAGAAAAAAAAATTAATTTGAAGTAATTTAAAAAAATTTTTAACAAAAAAGATTACAATTTTTCCTAAAAATTCGCCATTTTTGCAAAAGTATGAAATATATACGTGATCTCGTTAACAGTACAATGATAAGAGTGATAAATGAGAGATAAGCGATGGGAACAAGGAAGTTATAATATTAACATACAAGTACGAAAAGGGGTTTGAAAGGGTGTGACAATCATGTTCAAAACTGGCGCCAAAAGAAAACAATACATAACGATGAATAATACTTCGCAACAGTTGCATGTAGTGTTCAGTCAAAAGTAAAATCTTTTACATCATGAAATGAAAACATTATTATAAAATTGATAATTCGTTTAATGATCATGTTTTTGATTGTTTATCTTTCGGCCTGTCAGCTAGTCAATACGCGGTTGAATATTCTTGGAAATAACAAAAAAAATTGACTCGAAGTCACTTACACGACCATTCCGTAGGCACCCTCACCCATGTACGACAAATTCGTGTATCGTGGACCAACTTCGAACGTTTGTCCACGAACAACTTCACAATTTGGATTCACACTTGCAGAACCTTCACCCGCCATTTTGACAACTATTTTGCGGCTCCGGCGAAGTCAGACCAAATCTTGCTTCTTAGTCGACTGACCATGAACAATACCATGATTAGATAGACTTATGAAAAATTTACATATTATTTATCAATTAATAAGGCATCAAAAACGATCTTTCCGCACTTTTCTTTAATTTTATCATTATAAATCAAATTTTGATATCAAATTTTTTTGATTACAAATATATCAAAATATTAAAAATTATTATTTTAAAACATTAAAAAATAGAAGATTTAGAAATTATTTATTTTTTTTATATCTTTTTTTATGAAAATTGTTATATTGTTAAGTTTTAACAATATAATTTTTAATTTTTAATTTTTATTACTAAATCTTATCGAATTAAATATTGATATAAAATATGTTACAATATTGAGAACAAAGACATTGTAGTTCTACTGAATTTCGAGTTTCTCATCTAAAGTAAAATAAATTAAGACTTAGTTTTAGTATACGATTTATCATTGCTTTATAATTATATTTGTATTAATAATTGCATTTTCCGATAAGAATTCTCAATAAATTTTCAACTTAACGTTAAATATATTACAGATATAATATGAATGCACCACCGACTTTTGAATCATTTCTTTTGTATGAAGGAGAAAAAAAGTACGTATTAAAATCGATTATTTATATTAAACATTTAATCAAAATGATATATATATGATTTTCTGTATTTAATACAGAATTATCAAAGAACAAGACACAAAAGTTCCCAATGCTGCGATTTTTACTGTTAATAAAGAAGACCATACTCTTGGAAATATGATCCGCAAGTATATACATCTTACAAAATTCATGCAATATAATATACATACATATAAAGAAGTATTATGATAATCTCATTTATTATTTGATAGTCAGCTATTGAAGGATCCTCAAGTTTTGTTTGCTGGATATAAAGTTCCACACCCATTAGAACATAAATTTGTGATTAGAATTCAAACTACATCAGATTATACACCACATGAAGCATTTATGCATGCTATTACAGATTTAATAGCAGAGCTTTCTCTATTTGAAGAACGTTTTAAGGTAATTTATAAATGAAAAATACATTACAATTTTTATATATTTATAATGTTATATAAAAAACATTTCAGGAAGCTATTAAAGAAAAAAAGGAAGGATTAGATTGAATTTCTTATTCTTTTTTTAAAATTAATTTTAGATATTAAAAAATGTAAATAAAATATTAATATGTATGTCATTTTTGGATTACTACGAGACCTGATTTATTTTAATAAATATTGATATAATTAATATAATTAATATTAATTGATATTTATATATGTATGAATAAAGAAATAAAAATAGTTGAAAAATAGTTTACTTAAATTTTTTGAAATTATAACCCATTTAATAATACAAAGTCTGATAATAGAACAGTATATGAACTGTTCTATTATCAAGATGGACAATGACTTTAATTTTAAAGATAAAAAATCATGTCATCATGTCATTTTGCTTATTAAGAAATGGAGTCATAATTATTTAATTTAAATAAGTTTGTAAAAAATACTAAAATCAGTCTCTTACAATTTTATTTTTTTAACTACAAAGTTTAATTTTCCTATAATCCTAAAAATTAAATATATGTTTTGAAATTAATGTAATGACTTTATTAACCCTGCATTTAAGTTTAAAATTAGAAGGCAAGAAAATAGTAAATCATAGAAAAAGAAAATAGTAGTATAATTTTACTGAAACAAGTTTTGTACAAAGATTAATAGCAAAAATGGAACAATAAATTATTTTTATATAAAAAGTACAAACACTTTTTCAGAAAAAATGTACTACAATTGTAATATAAGTGCTTAGAAATCATATAAGAAACGCCTTGGACTAATTCTAATCTTGATTGATGAATTTTTCAAAATTAGAAGGAACTTTGTTAAATATATGGCGCTTTTCAACACTAAATAAATTATTAAATACATGTACAGATTCACATAAATATAATTAGTATGTACATAATTACATCTGACTTCATCCAAAGTATGCGTTTAATTTTTCGTTACGCATTTCATTATGTTTCCATTCTATAATACAAATCAGCAATATATCATAAAATAACTTAGTCATAAGTTCACAATAGAAGTGATATATAACTTTGTACTTTAACAATCACGTGGAAGCGCAACAAATATACACATAAAAACATATATAGACTTTCAAACCATAAATTTAACATGAGGAGCACAAATTTATCATGGAATTGTCAATATTTGGACAATTAATATGCATATTCCTATGCAGGAAGACATGCATATAACTATAGTTTTAAATTTTTTCATATAAAAATATACTCTGCAAAAATTTCAACAGGTTTTTTTTTGTAATTAGGATTTTTGAGAAGCAATAAAATATCTATGAATGACAATACTCTATTAAAATGTTTCAGCATCATCGCAATCACGAGTATCATGTCCAAACACTGCAAAACAATTAAAACAATTATAAATAGAATTACAAAGATAGAAATTACAAAGAAACAATTAGAAGAATTAATGTGAAATATTTAAGAAATATACTTAATAAAAAACTTTGTATTAGTTGTTTATAAAAAATATTTTTCCAAAATTTCGCTAATATTTCTTAGAAACTTAAAAAAATATTTAGAACAGAACTTTATATTTTATATATCTCCTAGGAGAAAAAATATTATAATAAATTATTATGAATATAATAAAAAAAATTTCAATTTATATAATTTTGAGAAATGAACTCTTACTTTCACAATTTTCGCAATACGGTCTTTCCACCGGTGGTTTTTTTGAAGACTTTACGATTTTTTCTGTATCTAGAAAGTCTTGAGCTTGACGTGGACAATCTTCTGTTTCGTGTAAATCAAATTGATCACAAATATCACAGAACATACGTGGTGCAGCCATACGTTTCTCTAATGTTGTTCTTTAATCAAAATAATATAGTTAAATTAATAATGATTACATTAATATAATTATTATAAGATATTTTGATTGAATATTAAATATTACAAACTTGGTATATTCATCAGCTTCATTGGAAGGTATTCCCATTTCAAGAACTTCCACTTTACATAGTAAAGTTTCATTTTTACGTTGCATATCAACTATTACAGAATTTAAGAAATCTATTTGACTTTTTGCTGTTTCATATTCTTCTTTTAATTTTAAAATATCAATATCCTTATCCACTGAAATAATTTATAATCAGTATTGATTTATAATCAATAATCGATAATTTAATTTTATAATATAATTAAAAAAAAAATGCAAAAAGGATTTATTGATTTAAAACAAATTTTACCTATATGTTGTTTCATATCACCTCCAGCTGCCTGCAATATAAATAACAATTTATTATTTATAATATTTTTATAATAAACATATAATAAAATAAAAATCAAAAACTTACATCATAACTATTTTTTATATTTTCGCGAGTTAGTTTTAATTGATTTGTTGCTTCTGTCCATTTAGCTGTAATTTGTTTATTCTCCCTTTCCCTAAAATGATTAATATAGGTATATAAAACTTTAGGAATATTTAATATTTATTTTTTACTTACAAATTACTTTGTACTTCTTTTAAATGTATTGTTTCCATTGACATAAGATTTAATTTTTCTATCAAATTTTGAACATTTTTTTCAGTTTCTTTTTCTTTAGTTTTTATGATATTTGTAAGTATTTCAATTTTTTGTTCTTGTTCTTTGAATAATTTTTCAAGAGATTCTTTATTCTCAATTAGATTTTTATTTTCTTTAATCGCTTCAGTTAATTTACTTTGCATAAATTTAACTTCTTCACTTTCTATTTGTTTATCCATTTCTAATTTTTCTGTTTGTGCATTTTCTAAAGCCTTAATTTGTGCTGTTAATTTATCAATAGTTATTTCTTTATTATTTAAATCACTAATTTGTTTCTCTATTATATCTTGAAACAATTGTTGCTGTTTTTCTAATTCAGAATTTTTTTGCATTATAGATTCAAATTCAGTTTGTTTAGCTTTCATTTCACATTCTAAAGTATTTTGTAATTTCATTACAGATTCTTCTTTGGAACTTTTCAATTCTTTCATCATATGTTCTGTTTCCTGAAGTATATTATTTTTTACATCTAATTCCTTTTGTATAGTTTTTAACTGTAATTCTAAATCTTTTACATTTTTTTCTAATTTTGATTCTAACATTTTTACATTATTTTCTAAAGAAATTTTTGTTTCAATAATATTAGATATTTCTTTTTCTTTCTCTAGTAGAGCTTCCTCTACTTTTTTCATGTCATTTACTTTATTCCTTTGTTCTTTTTGCATGGATATGAGAGTATCATTCAATTTAGAAAGTTGTGTTTCAAATTGTTCAGCTTCTTTTTTGGTTTCAACAAGAGCGTTTTCTTTGTCTTTAATTATTTCTGTAGCAGCAATTAGTTTATCTTTTAATTCTTTTACTTCATTATGCATAATATCTAATGATGTTGTCAAATCTTTATTCATGGTTTCCTTACTAGTAACTAAACTTTCATTTATTTTCTGTAATTCTTCATATTTCTTTTTTAATTCATGCAAATTAATATCTTTTTCTGTTATTAATAATTCTAATTTTGTGCGATTTGCTATTTCAATTTCTAATTTATCTGTCAATTCTTCAATCGTCCAACGATTGGCACTTTGATTTGCTTCTAACTTAGATTTTGTTTTTTGTAAAATCTTTGTTTCTTCTTGAGAAGTATTTAATTCCATTTTTAAGTCATTAATCTCTTTTTGAAGAGAAAATATCTCTTCTTTATGTGAATTTTTTAAAGTTTCATATTGTTTTTGTAAATTAATCACTTCTTTTTTGTTATTTTCTAACTCATTTGAAAGATTTAATGATTCCTGGGATTTTTCTTTAAGTTGTTCTTTAATACAGTTATTTTCTTTTATATGTTTTTCAAGTTCTACATTTTCTGTTTCAAATCTTTTTATTTTAATAGATAATTCTGTATTCAATTTTTTTTCTTTTTCTAATTCAGATTTATTATTCTCTATTTCTGAGCATTGTATTTGAATCAAATTATTAGCTTTATTTAATTCTACTTCCATATTATTCAACTTTGATTCTAATGATTTGAGTAAGGTTTCATTTTTGAATGCTTTATCTTTAACTTCATCAAGTTCTTTTTCTTTTATTCGCAAATCTTCATTATATTTCATAAGTTGTTCTGACGAATCAGTAGAAGTACTTATTAGATTTGTTATATCAGTTTCCTAAACATAATAGAAATAAAATATACTTTACATTAAAAATTTGCATTTTTAAAACTCTAAATAAAATAAACTAACCAATTTTTCTTTTTGAGATGTAACTTGCAACAGTTTATTTTCTGAATTAGCAACTTGTTGATTTAATTTTTCTATATTATTTTCAAATTCTCGAAGTTTATTCTCCAGAATCGCTTTATTTTTTTCCGATAAAGTAAGTGCATCCTGTAATTCTGAAAATAGACATAATTAATGTTAATTTAATAAAATAATATAATTTAATATCATATTATCTCTTACCTAAAGTCTTTTGTGTGAGATTTTTTATCTCTTCATCTTTATTTGCAAGAATTGATTTCAATTCAAATACATCATTTTCTAATTTACTGAACAATAGAGATTTTTGAGATATATAAGCATTTGCTTCTTCTATACATTTCATTTTTTCTTCAATTTGATCTTGATAACGTTTTGTTAATTCCTCTATTTCAGCTGCAGTTGTCGAACGAAGGTCTAATAATTCTTTTTCTTTCACTTTTAATTCTTCACTTAGTTTTTTTAATTGTGAAGAGGAAGTGACTTCTGTAGCCATTAAAGAAGCAATATCATGCTCCTAATATAATAATAAATTTGAAATTAATAAACTTAATATTTGCAAAGAAAAAAAAGTACTTACTAATTTTTGTTTTTCTTGGATTATTTTAAAATTGTCTTCAGTTTTTGATTCATATTCCTGTATCTGCTTAGAAAGCAAACTATTCTTCTCTTCCATTAATTTGAGTTTTTCATTTAATTCTAAAAAAAAAAAAAAAATATTATAAATATTTTAATTTAATATTTACATATTCTGCGTCGTTAATATACCTTCAAGTTTCTTTAATGCAGCGTATAATTCTTCATCTTTTTTTTTATTTATATCAACTTGTATAGATAATTCTGTCAACAGTTTTTCAGTTTCACATATTTTTTGATCCAATTGTATACAGACTTCTTTAATTTTCGAATCTTTCATATTCAACTGCTCATTGAAAGATTCTGAAAGCTTGTTTATTTGATTTATATTTTCAGTCTTAAGATTCTCTAAAGCAATATTTTGTACTTCTAATTGTTTCTTTGATTCTAATTCTAGTTCTTTTGTTTTTACTTTCAGAAGATTTTCTTTTTCTTCTACTATCTTTTCATATTTAAATATTAATAATTCTTTTTCACTTGTACTTTCTTTTTTAATATTTTCTATTGTTTCTATAGCTTTATGCAATTGTTCTTTTAAAGAACTTGTACTATTTTCAAATTCCTTTTTCATATTTTCTATTAATATATTTTTTTCTTGCAAATCTTTTATTGCAAATTCTATTTCTTTTTTTAAATTAATTTCTGATTCTTTATGAAGTGCATTTTCTTGTTGATTTTCATTCAATTTTAATTCTAATTCTTTTATTTGAATTATGTATCGTTCCATAAGTAATTTTTCCTCTTGCATTTTTTTTTCAAGATTATTCTTAGTTTCTTCTAAAATTTTATTGCGATTCTGTAAATCTAAATTAAATTCATAGTTAAAATAAATTATACAAAATAATATTTAATAAAACATTCCTTTTTAAAATACCTTCAAATTGATTTTTTTCTTGAGCAGTAACACAGGAGACTTCATTGCGTAAACGGGATAATTCTTCTTCTGTTTCAAATAATTTTATACTGTCATGTTCAAGTTGAGCAACACGTTCTCTTTCTTCCAGTAATTGTTTTTCAAGATCTTTAATCCTGTTTTCATTTACAGTATTTACCACCTAATAATAAATGCATTTGTTTAATATTTTAATTAATTTAAATATTAACTATCATAAAGTGCATCAAGATATATATTTTTTACTGATTAATTTAGGCAAGAAAGCAATAAAAATCTCACTTTTCTTATATGCCTCAATAAATGTAAGATATATATTTAATAAGATATATTATTTGATTTTGCAGAATAACAATATACATTTGTGTGTAACATAATAGAATCAAAATAAATAATAAATAGATTAATAAATAAAAGCAAATAATAAATACACAATAAGTAGATAAATAAATAAATAAATAAACATAGATAAATAAATTACATTGATAAATAAATTTTTCATATTAACTTAAATACTTATTACGTATTAATGATTGATTTATATGTAAAGCATAAATTTAGCATGAAAAAAGCAATGCTGAAAACAATTACAGTTTGCAGTGCACCATAAAGCGTGTTAAACCCGCACCTTTTTAACAAATTTCAATAGCATAATAATTAAATTTATGTATTATATAAATACGATTTCTTTACTCTATTCTTTACTTTCTCTTTTCTTTTCTTATTTTTATATATCTTAATTGTATAAGTATCAAATAATAATATCATCATTATAATTCTGATATTTAACATTAAAAAAAATTAAGAATTAAAGAAAGAGAGGAAGTATTGCGGCATTATCGTTTTTGACAAAATTGCGATGAAATGCTAAACAATATGACTATAGTGACGATAATACAAGTATAAGCGGTGCAGAAAAACAGCGTCATCAACCCCTTGTCTGTCTCAAACGGCCAAGTGTCCCATCGGATACTCACACATTGTTCACTTCTTTCTTTCTGAAAATAAACGATAAGGTTTTTGCGTTAACCCACAGCCTAAATACAAATGTTGTCAATATACCTTATGAAATCTTTCATTTTTTATTTTTAGTGAATTGTTTTTTTAAAATACAATTATAAGCATTGATCACTAATGATTTAAAAATAATTTTAATATCTCATATTTTTTTAAATTGAGCTGTATGTATATTATAGCTTTACCCATCACCATTTATTATAATATAAGCTCCTAATTCTAGAAAAAGCATATTAATTTAGATTCTAATTTTATATAATTATGATATATAAAATTATATAGTATTTTAGAAAAGAAACGGAAATTTGACAAAACAAAATGAAACAAGAACAAATATAAAAAAATGATATATATTTTTTATTTCATTTTGCATTTTGTTAATTTGATTGATTTTTAAATTTCTTTTTCATTATATTATTCATACTTACCTTATATATCTTCTAAATAATTAATATTTTGACATATATCTTTTATGAAATAAAAATTATACAATAAAAATGTATACCTGAATATCGTCCTTGTTAATTGACTCTTCTTCAAAACGAAACAGAAGGTCTTCACATTTTCTTTTCTCCTCTTCCAATTGCAAAACAAGTGCATTTTTCTCCTCGAGTAATTTTGAAAACGCAACCTCCGCTTCAGAAACTGTTCTTTGCATTTTTTCTCGATACTAAAATTAAAATTATCCTTTTAAAATATTATTATAATATTAAATGAACTACATAAGTAATATGTATAATGTTACAACCTGCTCATATTCTTTTACTATTGATATAAGTGATTGTTCTGCCTGATCTGCTTGATTTGCAGCTTTTGTAATTCGTTCACGTTCTAAATCTCTTTCCTTTCGAAGAATCTCAATTTCCTGCTCCTTTTCCTTTAATGTTTCCTAAAATGATGAAAATGCGTATAAGAAAAAACTTTGTAGAAATTATTTTTAGAGATTATTTATTAAAAGAATTTATTACAAAAATTATATTATTTCTTATGATTTCAATAAAAAAAAATATTTAATTATTGCCATCAAAATATGTGTCTATTATATATTTATAAATTGTATATTTATTCTTATATACTTATTGTATCATATTATGTATGATATATATATTTTCATCTTACAAACAACAAACTTTTATCGTTGTTTTTTAATTCTTAAGTTATTGAAGAACCGGTTTTCAATAAATAGGAGGAGAAAAGCATATAAATGCATATAAAGTTTCCAGAATAAAAATGCAAAGCGCGTAGTATTCTTGTGATAGAATTGAAATATACGTAATTAATTATTGCTATATCGACGTTATGTCATCAACGATTAATATGAATATATTTTATTTTCAATATGAATTTCAAAAGCGTAATATCTAGAATTATTCATTATACACTTGCTTTGATGACATCTAATTAAATAAATGTGATTTGCATTATAAATAATAGCAAAATAAATTTTTGAACTTTTTATTGGAAATTTAAAATATTTTTTATCCATAAAAAAGAGAAAGAATTTATAAAATAAATATCTAGGTAAGAATTAAGGAGATTAAGAGGAATGGACGGATAATTTTATTAACATTACATACAAGTATCACTTTTTTAAACTACTTATTATCTACTATACAACTAGTAACATACTAACAAATAAATTTATACTATATACAATGATTAAATGAATCATTATGACAACACTTCACTTTCAATTATATGTTTGAAATTATGCAAACATATAGATACAATGCGTTCTTTAATCTATTTCTATATTGAATAAATGAAGTATACATCATATATGTTGTATTTTACATTTCTATTTAAGGAATAATAATTAACCAAAATAAATGTTAGATCATAATCTCACCTGCAGGGTAATTCGTGCAGGTGTCGAAGTGCGCAAACCAGGCCTCTGGAATTTTGGATGCAACAAAAAATAAAAATATATCATGCAACAGCCATACAGTTAAATCGCAGAGAACTCCTTTTTTTCTATTCTTACTTACTTTCAATAAATAAATATATTTCTTTTTTTATTTTCGATAAAAAAATATATAAGACTTTATGAAAAAAATACTGTACTATTATACATGACTGCTTTAAGCATTCAATAAAGTCAAACAATGAATTCAAAAATGAATATTGAATATTTCTTTGGATTGTGAATTAAACTTTATCTAATATTTGATAACATTATTAACAAGAACAGCAACAATAACAACTACAAATCTATAACTATATTAAACTAATAACATCAACTGATACTAATAAGCTAACAACTCGCAGTTCCACTCGCAAACGCATTTCAAAGCAGTTTAACAAAAAAAAAATGATGCTTTATTCATACAAATTGAAAGAAATATGTTCGTTTTACTCGAAACAATCAGAGAATCATTTTACGATCTCTTCTCATATGATTCTATCATGTATTCTATAAAAATAATACAAATTCTAAATAAGCTATAAATTTAATATTAAAACAAAATATATCAACTCTTAAAATATTAAGATGACTCAGTTTGTTACAACTTGTCTTTCTTACAAAATAATAATCAAAATAAAATTATACATTTATATACACATATACAAAAAATTCAAGTTTTAGAATTTCATAACATTTAACAGAAAGCAAAGTGTAACGATAACTTTTATAGATATAAAATGGGATATAATTCAATATTTTTGATTGTCAATATATTAATATTATACAATATACACTACAATCCATAAATTTAGATATTTGCATTAGGATATAAATAAATAAAAAATATTAATAACAAAAATAAAAAGTATGATTGCCTACACTAGAACAAAAATATAAATTAAATTTAACAAATATCTGGATATTTATGGATGAAAGTGTATATCCAATTAATTTATCCTTTCAATCCTCTGATTGTTCGAGTAAAGACTGAAATCAAACAAAAATAGATAGTCAGGAATCTGCGTTCTGGAGAGAAGATACAAGCTGCAGGCCATCATCCTCCTCATTCTGGTACCGTGAATCTTACCCTCGCGGCACTAACACCAGCTCTAGTAGCAGTACTGGTGGTGCTGACTATGCTTGAGACCGAGACCAATGACTCTCTGGAACCGGTCTTCCTTAGGGACGTATTTAAGGCGGCGCCTGTTGGCCTATGCACCATACATGATGACCTTTTGCTGGTTGGTGACCGGCTGACCTTGTGTGCGGGTGCGAATAGACCGTATTTGGGTCGACACTCGAAATACCTGAATGAATGCTAAACTAGTTAGTAAAGTGAATGCAGAAAATAGAAATTAAATAGATAGAATTTATTATGTAAAATTAATGGAATTTTAAAATCTTATTTATCTAATTTATTTTTTAAAAAAATATAATACAATAAGAGTAGATAATGATAATAAATCTGAAGGTTGTTGTCGTTTTGCATTTAATAATTGAGATTATAAATATAGCTTTAGCATGATCGAATCGCGTTAATTAATTCTACCTTGCAGAACTATGTAAGAAATCCGATTGAACAAAACATTTCTTCCCACGCTGCTGCTTTTTCAGAAACGTGTGATTCTCTATTGTGAACTTTATTTCAGCCACTCAAAATAAACATATCGAAAAAAAAATAATAAATTTGAAGTAAAAAAAGAAAGTATTTTTAAGAATTTAAATAATAAATAATTGAGGACAATAGAAAATCAATCAAACGAATAATATTAAAAATGTAAATTTTCGATTACATGTATTTAAATGATATATATCATCGAAATGGATGATATTTCACATAATAAAAAAAAAGATGATGTTGAATAACTGAAAATCTTTAGAGAGATATTATATCAGATTATAAATTTGGAATAATAATGCACACCTTTTATCGTTGACGGAACCATCATTTTTTCCAATCGGATCATCCAATTCCACTCCACACCATTCACCGACTGCAAACTCTGTTGTACCGTAGTACCTGAGGACACCGGTTTTGCTGCCTTGGCTGGATGATACTATTACCCTGTCACCTATTCTGAGATCCCTCTGGGATACCGTGGACGATGATAGACTCGTCATTGATGCGTCTGCGTGACGAGTTATAAATATTCTTCTTATAACGTGTAAATTTTTTGGAGAAAAAAAGATGCATGCAAGAAATATTAAAGCAATGTTCTACAATATAATTTTGTTAAAAAAATCCTTATATATATATACATATTGTAAGTAAATATTGATAACTGTAAGTAAATAATTAATAAAATCCTTGATTGGAAGAAACGAGGAAAAAACGGTTTCTTGATAAGTGCAAGATTTATATTTAATAATTATGTTATTAGAAATTTCTGAATATAGGTAAATATGGATATATCTACTATATTAAATTGTAAGAATTATAAGGAATCCTAGTGAATCCATTTGGATATTTCTAGAACTTTAATCTTAAGGTTGAATAATAACAAATTTTTCTATGTTCCATTTTTGTTTTGTTATATTTCTATAGAATAATATTTAAGATGTAACTCTAATATCAATTAAGGATTATATCCAAGAATGCATATTTAACGTTAACAATTTTAACAATCGATAAAAAGAAAGTGAGGAAGCTATATTTAATTTATTTATTAAACACATAAAACTTGATGCATAAAAATTTAATTATATAAATAATAAACGTGAATAAACAGGCTACACAAAAAATGCAGAGATTGCAAAAGACAATGATACGTCGTTTCTTTCAAAGAGATTCAAAATACTGAATAAAAATATTAAACAACCTGCTACATGTTAGACACAATAGTAATAAAAGTAGCCTACATAGTGCGACTTTAAAAGCTACACAGCGTGCAACTAAACATTCCTTACAAAGCGTAAATAATTTTACAGAGAATTTTGCAGAATTTATCTTTACCTGTAAACGATTTTTCATAAAACAAGTACAGTAATATGTTTCATAAAACAGTACACAATTTACAATTTACAATCTACCATAATTATTCTATCAATTTTTATTTTAAACCTACAAAATTCTCGAGCATCGAACACAATTCCTTTTCTATTCTACAATTCTATCAAAAAAGAACATATTCTTTCATATTCCTCTTGCGCAATTCTCATTCCCCGTTTCTCAAACAGAAATGCAAGCACATTACGGACGAGGAGAGTATCTCTTGCAGCGATCCTTACTCAGAGACGGAGACATGGACTTGCTGAGACTTCCTTTCGAGCTGTCAGGTGGCGAGATAGGTGTCTTTTGTGTCGGTGAGGCCTCAGAGGTATCGGGCAACGGTGTCCTGGTCAGTCTGGTCAATCGTGAAAATATTCCACGTTTCGGTTCGCATTGGAAATATCGGCATCCAGCCACGGATCCGTCGTTTTTGCCTGAGGGGTCCATTCCGTTCCGTTAATTTTCATCGAAGATGCGATTTCCTCTTCACCAAGAATTAGGGAAGGTAGGCTTACCGATCGGTTCGTCTAGGACCACTCCAGCCCAATCTCCGGGTGCAAATTGAGTTTCGCCGATATAGGCGATGGCGCCTGGTTTCGTGCCACCAACCCATACTCGATCTCCGATTATAAAGCTGTCCGTGTCCTCGGTCAGGACCACGCTGTTATCTGTCCAGGGCGGAATTATAAGTGTTTAATGGCATCACTTGAATTCTTTGCTTCTCTCGATGGAATTTTTTTTATTAAGTTTCTTTTTTAACACTCCTTTCCTTCTTTTTTCATCGCGATAATTATTTCGAGAAGATGATGTTGGGATATAATTGAATTGATCAAATTGCAAATGTTTCCTTTTATTTATTTCAGAAAGATGAATTGGGATAAGGGATTCTTGTAATATTCGTTAGTTTTAGAATTTTTAATTGATCTAAAGTGGCTTCCAGAAATTTCGTGAATGTGTACAATTTTATATTTCTTATTTTGGAATAAAATATATATATATATTTTGATGAATTGTTTAGTATAATGTTGAGAAAACTCTCTTATTCGGATGGAATACTTAAAATCTTTTATTTTTTTTATTTGTTTATTAATTTAAATTTTCTGTTGATCATGATACCATTTCAAGCGTACGTGCAACAAAAAGCTACGAGAAGATTCGCAAAAGAAGACGATGCAATCGTATACAATTATTGTTATCGTAGAGTGATGCGAGAGCCATCGCCCATTTTAAAAAAGATTAGTCATGTCTGAAAGAATTTGTGATCATAGATGTGTTGATTGAAATACTTTGGAAATCACATTTTTGGATGAATGCCAATATAACAGCGAAACTATGTGATTCACGTATTAATGAAGGAATTATGTGATTATAAAACGATATAAAATAAATATTTTACATATTTCTACATATACATTCAATCATTGTACATTCTCTTAAATTCTTTTCCTAAATAACATATTTATAATACAAATTTTGAATAATTAATTTTAAATTTTATATTATTAATTACTGCATTCAAAATTAAGGAAAAGACCTAACAATTGACAATTTAATATAGACATAATATAGATATGTGGAGAAGCTAGATATTCTATTTTAAATCATAATTTAATATACATATACCTATATTTTATATTAGTTAATTACATTCTATTAATTATTTACATATTTAAATGTTTAAAAAACAGGCGATAAACTTTACATCTCTCTATTGAAATGTACTAGGACATAATGCATAAATATAAGAGATAAAAAATAAATTTAAAAATAAAAAAAAAAAAGCACCTACCTGATCCTCTGCGCAGGCCAGCCTCGCTTAATCGACGGCCATGCGTTTCCCAAAGATGATCCATTTGGCCTGTGATCATGCAAAACAATGCAAAACAATGCAAATCATACAAAACGAAAGCATAATTTCATGGAACAAACAAGCTTACCGCATTTTATTTTCAACCCTTGTTCAAGGATTGAACATTATAAAAAAATAAAAATGAAATAAGAAAAAAAAATTAAATGGATGCAGTGAACGTCACTGTAATGTAGCCAGAAGATTCATATATTACGATCATGCGTTATGCATGATAAAACAAATAATAATAGGTTTTTTAATTACAATTGGATAATACATAAGAGAGGAAGTCTATTTCCTATGGGCCAAGTTATTAAGCAAAGTGTTATGTAAAAGAGATCACAACGAGGTGTGTTCGAATCGATAATTATGCCTGTATGGATTTTATACTTAATCCTTTTATGATAATTAAATAATATAAATTCATATATATATATACACCTTAAATTATTAAATAAAATTATCAATTAAAATTATATTAAATTTGAAGAAAATGTAGATATAAAATCAATATAATAAGTATGATGATTAATAGTGAAACTTTTATAAAATATTAAGTTATTTATAAAATAAAATTTGAGATAGATCAATCTCTTTCATAAAATATAATATAATACTATAAAATATTATTCTTATCGTATTTTTTTAAACAACTTTATTATATCATTTAATCTAAATTATTCAATTAAAAAATTTCTTTTTTTTCTATATCATAGATTTTTCAATGATAATTCAATTAGAACGTAAGAACGAATGTATTATCTCGAAGCTTGCTACTATCCTATGATAAAAATCAGAGAAAAATGTCACGATTCGCGATTTAATTAGCTATTCATGAGTGGTTGGTGGGCGAGCCAGTGGTAGTAGGTCGTTTGCGTAGGTAGAATTTTCTGTTCGATGAGATTGATTCGCGATTAAAACGAAACGATAGAATATAAAACTATGCATATAAAAATATATAAAAATGCTTTTTCATCATAGGATATTTTAAACATAATATTTAAGATTTAAATAAATTATGCAATTTTTTGAATGATAATAAAAATTAAGTAGAGACAAAATGTGTAATTTGGATAATAAGCAAATAATGTACAGATATAAAAGAGTAATAATAGATTCATTGTTTATGCTTTTTTACGATTATTGTAAGTAATAAAAAATTAATAGGACGATTAATTGAGAAGATAAGTGAATAATATCAAAACAATAAAAAAATAATGAAGTATTATTTTTTCTTGAATAGATTGTAAAAAATAATACAAATAGTTTATATTTAATAATAAAATTATTGTATAATGATAATAAAAATCCTAGAATGAATACCAAATCCAAAGTTTTGATTTAAATATTAACTCATGTATTCTTATAAAATCAATCTTCAAATGCTAAAACGTAGTTCTTTCAAAACGCTATATAAAGATCGATGCATCATCGTCTAATGCATCAAATTGTTAGACATGAGTCACTAAAAAAAAAAGAGTACACTGAAAAAACAATGCAAGTCCAACGACCAATTGAGTCCAGGTAAATCCTATATACAATGAACAACTATATAATACAGTACAAACATACAGTAGGATTTCTTTTACTCTATTTCTAAAGACAAATATACTACACGAGAGAGTAGAGAGTACTAAAATAAACATTGTATTGTGTCAAATACCTTGACCGCTTAACATATAGTATACTTGGTAATAAGATACGTAGTGTAGTCATACAATCCAAGATACCTTGGTTCCGCACGAATGTGGATGATCCATATGTAAACAAGGTTAATAGTAGTATCGATTCGATTACTATTGATATATTATAGTTGTCAGATAGCAATTTGTTCCTGGAATCTAATCTAATGAACATTTAATTGTAGCTTGACAATCTCTGTTTTAGAATCATTTTTCAATCATGCTCAACGAATGCTGACGTATCAAATTTTTCTTACTTTCTTGACAAATTGGATAGTTTAATGATTTCAATTTTTTAGAAATTAGAAGTTTAGACATTTCTAATGAGATTTATTTGGAAATTAAAACTATAGAAACTGAATTGAGAGAATTCAGATTTCTATCTTTATAAAAAAGTTCTGATAATTCATTTCTTCAATATCATTGAAAATCTTGATCAAATTAGTTTTCAAATTCTTTCGATTTTATACTTCATAGTTTACTCGATATCATTTAACTTACGATATCATTTAATTTTTAAAATAACAAATTACACATTGAAAGTTATATTAAATTATTCATGTTAAAAACTTATGTTATTAGAATTAATAATAAATTGAAAATAAAAAAGATTATAAAAAAATTTAAATAATATGAAAATGAATCCTAATTAAAATAAATTTCTTTATTTTAAATTCTTAATTAAAATAATTTATTTAAAATAATTAAGAATATTTCTAAAATTCCTATGAAAAATTATACAACAAACATTTAAATATAAATTCTTCTATCCAATACATAAAATACAAATATAATTTTTCAACAAAAAAGAAATTTAATCTCTCCCAATAAATTTTATCTGCATTTTAAATAATGAAGTCATTTAAGAAAATATCAAGACCATAGAAAATTATATTTTGGATTTAAATGATGTCTGACCAATAATAAAAGAGATAATGAATATTACAACATATTACATATTATATTAATGGTGCTAATAAAAAAATAAATCAAATTTGTGAATCAATCTAAAAACCGGCCGTTGTCGATTTAAATATCAAGAAATCTAAAATGAGCAATATTTTCAGTTTTATTCTTCATCTATTTAGCCGATGGTATCTATTATTATTATATATATATTATATATATTATTATTGAAAATCATGAAACTGATTATGTCAGATGGAAAGATCATCATTTTAGATTAGTATATTTATGAAGATATGATTATGTTAATAAAATTTAAAGAAAAAAATATGTGTAAACATTTGTATCATATGTTTGCACTACTTAATGAATTTTATAAATGTTGATTATTGAGAACCATAGAAAAAGATCTTAACATCATACACATTGAATAATCTTCATTGAAGATAATTAATCAAGCAATGAGAATAAATTCTTTATATGATCATAGATCATTCTAAATAAGAGAATGAAAAATTAATTGTTAATTTTTGTCTATTAATATCTTTAATAAATTGTAATATTAATATTAGAAATTTAATTGTAACTTGTAATATTAGAAAATTATTAAAAAATTTCAATGAAAGATATATCTAATATCATATCAAATAAATAAAAAAATAAAATTTATAATAAATAACATTCACGATTCTCTTCAATAGTATTCTTATCAAATTCAATAGGAAAAATATAATAAAAATAGAATAATATAAAATTATAAAAATAAAAGATAATAGTTTCTTTGTGATCTTTTTTTAATACAGAATTATGGATAACATTTCAATATGTTAATCTTGATATTGTTAAGTATCAATATTTTAAAGTCATGGATCACTATGAATTTCCTTAATAATCAATATCAGATATCGAAAAATTGTATCTACGTATGTGTTTCCATGTGGAATTGAAATCGATTGACATCGTTACCTTGAGCTTTTCTATCGTGTTGCGAAACTCGAACCCGATCAGCAATACGTGCGCGACTGATCATGGGTACAAGATAGACGCCGTGAAAATCTCTGCCCGAAATGGAAAGCATGGCAAGCACGTGGGAGGAAAGACGGAATGCACGGTTGGAAATTGAGCGTACAATAAACACATGCAAATTGCATAACGTAATGTGCGTCATACGACGATGACTGCACCGGCACTACACGCGTCGCGGTCTCTTCCTAGTCGAAGTCACTGGATGAACCAATAAGGCAAGATAGCTGCCCTCAATGCGAGACCAGGAGCTTTTGTACGCGGCTAGCATCTCTTTCCGCTCCGCGCGCCGTGAATAATCGAATAGATTAGTATGTAGATTTTGCGGCTATTCTAAAAGAAGATCAAAATTTAATCTTTATAAAAAAGATATTGAATTCGTACTTATATACGATGTTGGAGAAACATTTAAAAAGTGATGATGATGGGGATAACTTAAAGAAGTAAACAAATTTTTAAAGAAATTATTTGATGTATAGTTTAAAAGATACTTTAAGTTCTACAAATAGTGATATAATAGAATTATATGATATGTTTCTGTAAAATAAGAAACAATAATATTTGATAATTGTATTGGAAATTCAAGAGAATTAAAGATATAATTGACATTTCAAAGTTAAATATCCATCATGAAGATAAAACCAATAGTTCATTTTAATTTATTTGGCCAAATATAATTTTATAATAGTGAGAAAAAGAAATAAAATATGAATATGAAATAAAATAATATTTTTAAAATATATTTATATCTTTAAGAAATAATCAAATAGCTTCAAATATGAAGGATGAACAATATATAAAACCTTAAGAAAAATCAAACTTCCAATAAATCCTAATAAAGAATTCAACAAGAAAATCCACCAATGCTTTAAAAAAAAACATCATAACAGAAAACACAATCAATTTACTTGCAAAAAGCAAAAATGATACTGTGTATCATTCAATGATCCATAAAGTTAGTAACAACAAAATTAAATAGGGATTCATTTTACCATTGCATCTGTAATTTCTTCAATGAAATAAAATTGACGGTAACCGATAACGATCATAGATTTGTTAATGAGAAGTCGATATATTTACCAGATCGCTCAGACGAGATGCGTTGCTCTGAGAGGTGGAAGAACGACTCGCAAGAAGTTAGCGAGTTCGGGCTTGTAAAAGTATTCGTTCACGCTCGTCTCAGGGTCTCGTGGGCGTACTCATTTACTTGGTGTGGGGAATTAACGGATCCCAGCTTCATACTGTAACCCTTTATTTGTATCGTTTCCTCACTTGATGTATACATTGGGCTAGGTATGAACCAAGCTCGATGATTTGTTAAATTGGTTTAAATTTTTTATTATCAATGCAGATTATAAATATAAATATAAAATGATTCTTCTTTTTATTTTTTCATTTATAAATAATATTTAATATTTAATATTATCATTATTAATAATATTTATTAAAAATAGAATAAAATAAAATATTTGTATTTTAAATAATATAATGAAGTATATATTGTGATGATATAAAATTCAAATATATTTGTGTGATTAAATATTATCTATATATAATAGCATTACCTTCTCAAATAAATTATTTTAACCAAACCACACAGCTATGTATAGTTATGCCATTTTTTGAAATATTTAGAAATTCTTATTAAAAATTAAATGTTTTGCATGTAGCAGACAAAGAACATTAAACATACAAAATACATTAAAATTTAAGCTAAGAAAATAATATGTATGTGAATAAAATTATATAATTTTTTTCAAGACATGCATATATAATATAATGTGTAATAAATAAATTTATTAAAGACTTACTCATTGATGGTCTTGGAGGTGATGGTGGAACTGCTGGTCTTGGTGGTAAATTGCTGCATGGTCGACCAATTTTTGATGGTGGTCTTATTCCAGATGGTTTTGGATCAGACATGTTCTTATATATATAACAATATTATGTAACTGAAACATGAGAATGATGGATTAATAAAATTGAAAGAAAAATTCAAAAAATATATAAGTAAAATGAAAATTAAAAAATACAATCAAAAATATATTAATATTTTAATAGAATATTAGTACAATGAAAATAATAGTATACATATGAAATATCAAATACAATAAATTTATTCAGTATGATCATTACGATATCATTTAATATTATACAGAAAAAGAACATATACTTGCAAAATATTAACTTTGTATTAAATATTCAAAATATTGAATTTGTGAAAAAATAAAAAAAAATTAGTAAAGAAACTGCAATGACACACTAATAATTGCTTCTAAGCAATGTTCTATGTTTACATTCAGTAATCTTAAGGTTAAATATATTTATATTATTCAAAAGTAAAATGCGACAAAAAGTTAAATATTTCTATTTCTTATTATTCTAAACATAATATTGTGTTTAAAAAAATATGATATTATTTTTTTAAATTCATTTCAAAATTTTCTACAATATGATGATAAAAAAAATATTTGATTTTATTTGAAAAATTCAAGGTGACCTTGATTTTGTTGTGAAAACAAATTATTTTCGAAATTTTTATTATCACCATTTGTTGTATATTTAGTACCGATAAATTTTTATTTAAAATTTTATTTTTAGATAGCAAATGGCCGAAAAATCATTTATTGCGTTAAATGGAATACTATATATATATATATATATATATATATACACACACACACACAAATATATATATATATATAAACAGAATAATTTCAGTTATTAACATAATTTAAAATAATTTTAAATTAACTTAATATTTTAAATATTTAAAAATCTTTAAATTTTATATTTGTATTTTATTTAATTTCTATAAAAAAGTATATTATGTTAAAAATTCAAAAATTATAATCAAAAAGTCGTTATATTATATTAATCGAAATCGACATTTAAATTACGCATGCAATTACAAAATATGCATTATAATAAATGCTGACACTTATAAATAGACATATGAATATAATTATTATATTTTTATTCAAAAATAAAATATATTAAAACATAAATTTTGCTTGAAAAAAATATTAAAATATTAAAAAAATGTCAAGTGGAAAGTTAACCTCTTCGGAATCAATGTTAATCATTAAAAATACAATCATCGTACCTTATTTAATTGTGATATGATAAATTCACGTACAATTAATTAACATATTTTATAATATCACTATATTTATGAAGAAGCACTATAAAATATTCGCACAAATTCACACAGTAATCAACGGAAAAATGACAATTAGTGGCGCCAGAAGCGCCGTCACGGTCTACTTATGAATTAATTTAGAATTTTCTGTCAATTTTTCTCTATATTTCAATATAACCATAAATAAATTACAGAATAGATTTATTAACTTATAAAATTTTATTTCATGTTCTGAAATACTAGTAATACAAAAAATCAGATTGTTTATCAGTATGCTCTAGGATTTAGAATAGTGAATATAAAAATTATATGTATTATATATATAAATTATGTAGTATTCATTGCACTCACTATAGATTTTTTAGTTACGAAATGGATTCTTGTATGACTTAAATTATTCATAAATTAAAAATTACATTTTTTAATATTACAACAAATTATATTTTTTACTATAATATAGTCAAAATAATATCAATTTGTGAACTTTTTTATTAAAACTGAATTTATGTATATATGTATACATATTGCTATCATATAATTATGAATGTCAATATAGATAAGAAAACATAAATGATTTTATGAAAATTTAAAATGATTTTATAAAAATAAAAACATTTCATTAAAGTCATATAGGAATCGCAAATATTCCTTTTTATATATTTTTTTTTGACAACTTTCAATTGTTATTTTTGTTATAAAATGATTAACATATTTCATAATATGAAAAAAATAATGTAAATGCGCATATAGGATAGGCAAAAAAAAAAACAATAAAATTAATCAAATATTTGAGTTATTTCTTGAGCATAAATTTGGACGTAAATAGACAAATAGGAATACAGGTAAGAACAAATAGAATAAGAAATATAAAAATAGGATATTATTTCTGGAATAACGCAAATGAAAATGAGCAAAGATAGCAAATAGCAGAAAAAAATAGAAATAAATATTGATTGTTAGCATCATTTTTTGAGTCAAAGATATCTCTTAAAAAAATGTTTTTTTTTAGAAACATAAACATAAACAAAAATAGTGCTGATCCTCTTGAATTCTCTTATTTGAACATAAAACTTTAAATTTGCCGCAGGAAAATTTAATTGCATTTAATAGAAAATAACAATGTTGTGGCAACTCTGAATCAAACCATTGATTGATCATCGAAATATAACATTTCAAGAATTCTTAAAAATTGTGTCGAAATAAATGAATGAAGAATATTTTTAAAGTAAAATTAATGTTAATAATAATTAAAAAAAAAATTAAAGTATCATAGTATAATATAAGAAGTAATAGTGAACAATTTAAAATTAATATTTGAAGAACAATTATCACGTCAGAATGTCTTCATATGATATAAGTGATATACCATTATATAAATTCTGTTAAAAAATTTAATTTATTCTTTAACATCAATATGAAAATCTCTTATTATTAAAACAAATCAATTTGTTTGATAATTAAAATAATTAATATTAATATAAACATTTTGAGATTAAACAAAAATGACAATTGATTTATCAACAATACCACTTGTTGCTTTATCTATTGAATCTATACAAGTTGTTTCATCATTATTAAATTCGCCAAAAATTATTCCTTGCGAAAATAATTTACCAAGGTAATTAATATTTGATTAATATAAATTTTTTTAAAAATTTTATCTTCATTAAGTTTTTAAGTAATCAATAACTTTTTACATTTTTAAATTTTTAGAGATTGGAGAGGTCTCGCTCATTTATGCGAATTAGGCGGAGAATTAATGCCCTTACTTATATCACATCCAGATCCAACTGCATATATTTTAACATATTGGAAAAAAAAACAAAAAAATATTACAATTAAAGATTTTCAAAATTTGTTAGAAAAAATTGATAGATGGGATATCCTAGATGATACATTAAAGCTTTTTGGTTTGTAATTATAATATAAGTTATATATTTTGTTATAAATTTTTCTCTTTTATCATATTTAATTAATTAAATATATCGTATTTAATTAAATTGCAGTAAGAGATGGTGAAAAATATTTAGAACAATTACAAAAGTCTCAAACATCAGCTGAAAAAATTGAAAATGACATTGAGATAGAAATTCTTACTGTAGGTAAGTCAAATATGACAATACATAAATAAAGTATTTAAAAATTATTACATATATATATATCTTTTTTTTAATAGATGATTTCTATAGGAAAGAGCAAGGACTATCGAAACAAAATTATGATGCATTTATATTATATGCCGATGAAGACATTAAATTTGCTAATGAAATGGTGGATAAACTTGAGAAAGAATATAATTTGAAGGTAAAAATTTAAAATTATTTTATACTATATAAAAATATATGAAATATATCTTTTAGCTTTGTTTAAAAGATCAATTACTTGGTGGAATTACATTTGAACATGAAGCAGTAATGAAATTAATATCAGAAAGATGTAATAGGCTAATTATTATTATATCACCGAATTTTCTTAAAAGTCCAGCAAATAAATTCTTTTTGAATTATGCTCAAGCATTGGGCATTGGTAAGTTTTAATATGTATTCATTAAATAATAATTTATGATTTTAATTTTGTATGTAATGTTTGAATTAGGAAATCAACAAAGAAAGATCATACCATGTTTATATGAAAGATGTCAATTACCACCTCAATTACAATTTATGGTCATATTAGATTATAATAAATTGGTTTCATATAACTTCTGGGGAAAATTAAGAGATTCCGTACAAGTATCAAATAAAATGAAAGAAAATCTAAATATTTCTCCCATAAAAAATGACAGCAATTTGAATGTGAATAATGATAAAAATAATGAAAATGATAAAGATAAACAAAATACAAGTAATGTAGAAAGAAAGGTTGAAATAGAAAAACTTCAAATACAAAATAAAAAACAAATATTTGATACAAAGGAAAATTCAAACCAATTTGAATTTGTCAGTATAAATAATAATTCAAAGAATAATAAAAAACACAATCATTTTTTACTATGGTCTAAAATGTGGTCTAAAAAAGGAGAAAATAATAAAAAAGAAGATGCTTCAATTACAAAAACAGTTAGTTTACCATCTATTGAATCTTTGGATACGTTAAATTCAACAGATTTAATAGAAAAAAAGAATAAAACAAGACTTATTGATAAATATATAAAAAAGTGCAATTTATTAAGTTAATACTTTTAAAATACTTATTAAATTGTAAAGAAACATTTATTATTAATTATTTTACTTTATAATTAAAGAAATAAAACTGTATTAATAAATATAAATTTATAATATAGATATAGAATGTATATAATAATGTATATAAATAATATAAGATAATAGATTATATTTATATTAAACATTTTTTTATTTAAAAATTAAGTCTTCATGATTCATTAATTAACCTTTTATTCATTGAGTATAAATAGAATTATATTATCAAAATTTAAAGAAAATAGATAATAATATACTGAAATATTATTAATTTTCTTATATGTAAAAATGTAAATATATATTTTAAAAATAAATTATATATAAATTATATATGAATTAAAATAAATTAAAATGAATCCTAGTTGAAATTTCAGAAAAGGAAATTCAATTAAATAAATAAATAAAAATAAAGTTTTTAAAAAAAATATTCACATATATATTTTCATAAAAATAAACAATTAATATAGCATTGTTGTATAATTGAACTAATATTAATAAAATTTTAGAAATTACCAATTATTAATAATAATACTAATAAATATTGAACACTAATAAGTTTAATAATAAAATAAATGAAATTTTAATAAATTTATATTTTAAATAAGTAAATTTTACAAATTATTCATGATTTAACATAAAATTATAAAAAAAATTTGTAATACACAACTTGTCATATTATTAGTTGATAATTTATATTATAAGAGGGCTCTGATATCGAAAAACACGTGATGATAATAGTTGTGCTGCTACTTGTTTATTTACGCGAATAAGAATTTTCTTTATTTATTATTATTAAACACAATGTGAGTTGGTTACAAAAAATATAATATTATATTAAGTGAATCTTTACTATGGAGAGTTAAAATAGTGAAAATAATTAAATTGATTTATACCACAGGACAACGATCGTTAAATGTTTTCTGTAATATAATTCCCGCCAAATTTTTTACATTGTGGCGCTATTAATTGACATTGCTTTTAATTTTGTTATGTTTTTTATGATCTAATATCATGTTTCAAATAAGTATTAACTATCATTAAAAATAAAAAAAGATTAAACATATATGTTTTATAATTTAAATAAAAAATATCAAAAATGGTTCGTCGAAAAAGTAATCCGAGGTTAGTTGACGTAAATTTATGTGATTAATATTAAATAAATTAATATAATATAATGATATATAAATTGATTATAATTATATATTCGATATTCGATAAATTTAATTCTCGAAAAAATTATTAACTTTTTAAACTATTTCCTTTAAATATTTAAATTTTAGAAGATATATAAATATATATATTTAACAAGATTAAAAGATCATTGAATTGTTTAAAAATTATTGATAAATTTAAAAATTATTATTACTTCAAGGAAAATGTTGCAATAATTATTTTAGATTTATTTTGAAAAGTAATATTTCTATCGTGCGCGCCTCGTAAGAAAGGAATACGAATTTGATTGGTTATTTCTAATAAAATGAACAATTATATAAAATAGAAGTATTTCTTAAATATCTGATTTGAAAATTTGAAAATTTTTTATATTTAACTATTTGCAAATATCATATAACATTTTATAGTCATGATTAAAGAAATAAAAAACGATTTGTGAAATGATTTTCTTTTTGAAAATTTTGTAAAATCAAATTATCTAGGGAATTATTTATTCATTTTTTTTCGAGATTTTAACGACTATGAATTTTAGAATTAAAATTATAATTTAAATTATAATTCTAAAAAATTTCTAAAAATTCTAAAAATTATAATTCTAATAAATTTAGAAATCGATAATTTTGTAGCAAAAATTTAACAATGTTTTAATATATAGCATTAATATAAACATTGTTATGTGAAATATTTACAATTATGCATGCTTATCTTGATACAGGATTTCGCAATACGTTAGTTATTCATTGAATATTTTGGAAATTGGAATTCGCCATGGAATTCAAATTAAAAGTAATAAACATAAAATAGAAATGAAATTAAAAAAAAAATTTAACGCAAATTTCAAAAATTGGTGGGGATAACTGTCAGTTAAGCATGCAAAAATTATGTAAATTAAATATATTACTAATTATATTTTTTTTCATATGATATTTGTAAAAAATGTTGTTTTGTTATTTTAGATCAATTGATGATCCACAAAGATCACCTAGTGTAAAGTCTAGAGTAAGTGCATTTTTAAGAATTAATATAATAATATTTAAATATTTTTAATAAATAGATTTATATATATATATATATATAAAATATTATTATTATATATTTTTTTTAGCCAAATATATCAGCAAACAGACGTGTACTTCGGACGACGCGAGCTTTAAAAGAAATTCGATATTTAAGAAAAACTGTAAAGTTGATTATACCAAAAGCTCCTTTTGCTCGTTTAGTTAGATATATTATTATAGATTTATTTCCTAATAGTGACGTAGACAGGTAAGATTTTAAATATTTTTTTAAACATAAATTAATGTGTTTTAAACTTTAATATTCAACTTTAATATTAAACTTAAATATTCAACTCAATTTTACAATTCATATCTAGAATTCAAGCATCTGCACTTGAAGCACTGCAAGAAGCAGTTGAAGCATATATTGTTCAATTTTTTGAAGATTGCACATTATTGTCACAACATGCAAAACGTGTAACTCTTCAAATTCAAGATGTAATTTTATTGCGTCGACTTAGAGGAAGGGATGATATTATAAATAGATAAAATAATTTTATTTTTAAATTCACCATTTGTATCATATATAATTAAATGAACATTTATTTCATATATAATTAATATTATTAAAAATTTTTAACAATTTAATGTAACAAATTAAACAATTAATGTATAATATAAATATAAAAATTGCAATTTTTGCTCTTTATGAAATAGGAGTAATATTTTAAATAATATTTTATATTTGTAAAAATGGAATTTTTAAGTATAAATAAATTAAACTTGTATTAGTTTGTTCAATAAGATTTATTTTATAAGAAACAAACTTTTAATAAAATTCTTTCACTTTACGAAACTTTGGTAAAATATACATTTCTCAATTTTTAGACAGGTCTTTAAAATAGTATACGTCGAAGCTTCGTAATTCACTTCATATAGATTTTGTTTGAACTTTCTATGTATACGTAAAATAACTTCAGTTAAAAGTGATACAGTAAAAACGATAAAATAATATCGTAACCAATTGTTACGTTTAAATTTCTTTTGTTATTTCGTGCGGGTTAGCTGCCATCACTTACGACATATATCATAAGTGAAACATATTACGATAATCTAAAAAAACAGACTAAAAAATAGTATTACAAATAGCAATGCTATCTATGTACGCATTTATAATATATGTATAATACAATTTGATAAGGAAATATAAAAGTTACCTGAAAAAACAGGTTACTTTTTCATGTTTGTATTACATCGAAAATATCTCGTACATCTCTTTTTTCGCATCTCTTTCTCTCACTCTCATTTTCACTCACTCACTCATTCATTTATTTATTCATTCTCTCAATCTTGGATTTCTATGAAGGCTTTTTTTAGGCACAACATTAATTACATTTTTATGCTGCCTGTATTGTACAGAAGAGATTACGATAATTCGTAACTTTATTAGCAATATTTCATAATCATTTTTTTTATTTGCTGTACATTTTTTAAGTATCATGTATATTCACAGTTAATAAGAAATTGATTTTAGAAAAATTTTATATTATTCTTTTTCTTTTGTCCTTTTAAACATTTTAAATATGTACATTTATTACGATACATCATTATAAAATTAAAAAAAAAGAAAAGAAATTCTTTATCGAGGCAAGTTTATAAATCTCGAAAACATTTAATACAGAATAGAAAAACAATTTGAAGCGAATATACATATACCATATTTGGTTGCGTAAAGTCGTATAGTTGGATTTACCAAGCTCGATCGACATGTTTACTATAATTAATCAAATTGTAAAATTAAATAACAAGTCTTTATATTGCCATAATTTGAAGAAAGTTATTTCTTCATGAAAGACCGCACTTTATTTACGCATTTATCCATAAAGTTTTTCTTTCGTTTCGGCTCGGCTCCTGTTGGAAGCGAAAGTAATGAACCTTCTTCTCGCGACTTAGATTTATATTCGTTTGATAAAATATTTTCGTCGGAATCTAATCCCGCACCACAGCTCTTCGCTTTAAGAAGTATAGATTTATCGTTTTCCGTTACCACCAATCGTTTTTTTAATTCTGCATTATCACAAGGATCAATGTTTTCTGAGCTTGTCTGAAAGTCCTCTTTCTCATGTTCCATACTTGAAGTATCCATACTCACAAATCGATATGGTTTCGATGGTCGCATTAGTGGATGTTCTTCTTTAATACTATTTTCTTCAGAGCTTGATTTTTGAATTTCTTCTTGTTGAACAACGGTGACTGATTCTGATTTCGTTTCTGTTTTCAATCGTTGCCTAGGAACTGGTATTGGACTCTGATTCTCATTTATTTTTTGATCATTAAATTCATTAGAATAAAGATTAACGATTGATCCTTTTACTTCATTTTGTATTTTTTGTGGTACAATTTGAGAAAGATTATCTTCTATTTTAATACTAGAAACTTTATCTAAAGGCTCCAGAGATATTTTAGAATCAATTTTATTCTCGTTACATAACTTAGACGACTCTTCAGTCTTCATGTCTGACACTACACTATCTTCATCTAGCAAGCCATCTAAGCTTCTAGACCTTGGTCTCACTTGTGCTTCTGATTCTTTAACAGGCGAGACTGATTTTTTCTCATCTGGATCTAACAATTCTAATGAACGAGATCTAGTAGATGGAGAAGGGGGATATCGCGGAGGTCTTCGTGGCACTGGACTTCCTCCAGGATGTGTATGAATGAACTTCAATCTCGGAGATGTAGGTGGTAAACCTATTAACCAACGGGACGGACTTGATGATTTTCTAAGCCTGCAATATAAATAAAAACAATAGTAGATTCTAATCATGTAAATGAATAAATAAGCACAATTATTTTGGCATATAAATTGGTACAATTACAAGTACAACAATCATGCAAATTCAATATAATCTGTTTTTTCATTATTTCAAGATAGATTATCATTTGTTTTTCATTTACTGATTTGTCTTTAAATGACTTTTTAAATCATTTAAGATAAAAAATGTGTTTTAAAAAATTATATAAGTGTTGAAATGTTACAACATGAATAAAGAAATAAAAGTTAAAAAGTCATTTCATTCTTAGATTTAAATACATTTAAACCTAAAACTATTTCTAAAATTATAAATAAATAATAAAAATTAAACTAATGATACAATAACGACATCAAATAAGCAAATAACATAAAGAGCAATTTGATAAGACACTAATTGAAACATAAATATAAAATTAAATTTCTTCCGACTGACCTAGACGTAATTGATTGTCTAAAGCGCGAGTGTTAATCCTGGCTGTATAGAAATAAAAAAAAAATGCGTTATAGAGAATTATTATAATCTAAAATTTAGTAAGACTAAAATGTATTAAATTGAATTTTATTTAAAAATGTATTATTTAATGCATTACTTAAAAATGATAAATACCTATTCGATATAGCTGTGGGCGGGCCTTCTAGTCAATCTCGTCCTCCTGTTGAATCTTTGTCACTACCTCTGCTTTCATTGCTGTGCATACGTTGATAGTTTGGTGGTTGACGAATGTTCGTATTACTCGATGTATTTGGTTGTGTCACATCTTTAGGTGCAATGCTTCTTGGAATATCTGATCTGACTGGTATTTCTCCTCGCATAAACCTGAAAATTAAAAAAATTTTATTTTAAATTTATCTTTTATATGTAATTGTTAATATTATATATAATATTAAAGAAATTAAATATTTTTCTTAATTTAATTAAGTTTTTTATGAATTATTATAAATTTGATTAGGTATGATTACCTTTCAAGCTTGTCTACGCAAGCGTCTTGATAATCGTGAATCCATCGTACACCATTAAAGTGACAAACTGCTCGCATATCTTCAGGAAGTTCCTCAGGCTCTGGCCATTGAAAATTATCTATGATGGGAATTATATTACATTGCGATTGTAGAGCTGCTACAATTTCCTATAAACAATACCAATTCTATATAAATTATTTCTGTTAATATTAATAATTTCTTTATTTCACAAAAGTAATCAATAATTTACCCTATGAACCCAGTCTTTGCATTCGTTATCTTGTATACACCTTTCCAAAGCCTTGGGCGTTAACACAAGGAGGAAGTGTTTTGCTTGTCTGATACTTTGCAATAGATTGTTATCGAACTTGCCAGCCTCTAGTCTTTCAACATCGATGAATACAGAGAAACCGCGCAATTGTAAATGGACTTTTAATAAACTGGCCAATTGAGATCCATTTGATCTTCTATAACTAACAAATACATCTAAGGATTTGTCTGGCGATTCGTTTTCCGATGAACCCAGTTGATTGTGTTGCATATTCTTAATGGCATCCAATATCCTCAATCGATGAATACTGTTCGTAATGCCACATTCACTCAATAGTTGGTCTTCAGACAAATTTCTTATAGAATCTTTATCAACACCAGCATTCAGCATACTATATGTGTAGATTGAAAATTCCTGACCAATAGATTGTAAGAAACTATTTAAATTCCCTGTGTCTCTACTGCTATAATCAGCCATCTTCTTCAAATTCTGCAATTCTCTAGTGAATCGTTTTCGCCTGATACCATTTGCCAAACCAATGTCTTCTTTGAGATTCTCTTCCGTTAGCTGCAGCAATAAATCACCATCAACTCTGCTTTCTACAAAATTTTGAGCACATTCTGCAAATCCAATCTGCTTCACCCATTCTCGGACGTCCTCTGTAGACCAGAGAGGTACCTGTTGGCTGAGTTTATGGGGAATCTCTTCTCCAATTAAACGCAATGCCTGCGCCGCGTATTTGGACGCAATCGCATTAGGACAACTAGCTACTTTTTTTAACGGCTCGATAGCTCCTATTGCACGGAAGATTTCAGTCTTACCCTGTTGTTTTTTGATTCCCGCTTCCATGCAGAAATGAAAAGCCGCCAGATTTCTAGCTTCTTCTCTCTTCGAGCTTAATACTGGTACAAGTCTTTCTAACCAATTTTTGCTTTGGCCATGTGCGTGCGCCAAGTTTGATTTAGCAAACTCATAAGGATTATGCGAGGTGACGAATGGCTCGACTAAGTCCAAAGTACCAGATTTTAATACGGCAGCTTCTATCTCTTTATTAGCTACTAGTACAGCGATTGCTAGACAGGCATAATATTTGATATTATCATCATTGTGGAAAGCCAGAGGGAATAACCACATGGGTACTTTTCTCTTGATCATAGCTTCTTGATTTTCTGCACCTCCATAGAGAGAAAGATTGGCTAGAGCACCTGCACAATGTCTTAATGTCTCAATATCATTTTTTCTGCATTCGAATAGAACGGCATCTAAACCACCTAGTCTAATTACATCGCTACAGGTCCCTTCACTGTGCTTGAACAAATGTTCCAGAATTCCAGTACCCACTCTAGAATGGTCCACTGAATTGGCATTCTTTGTACATACGCAGGCGACGTTTACCACTTTTTCTAGACCATGTTCTACTACATGAGCCCTGTTCTCTGTGGTGAGACATTGCTCTAGCAATCTAGCTGAGGAGAATTGTAACTCCTGATCGCTAGCCACGCAGTTCGACATTAATAGGTCGAGACCACCTCTTGTTCTGAGAGTAT